AGATCTTAATCCCCGTTTATGATCCCACGTGATGCTCAAGACTTGATGGCCCTTCCTTATCACCTCATCCTCAACAACAATATATACTCTGGTCATTCTATGTCTTCTATGATGGGATGCTTAGCTTCAATGAAGAATCAACAACTCTTTCAACATCTAATCCTACTTGGCGGATTTCCAAGGTAAACGAATCAAGCTTGGTAATTGTGTGGACATTCTTCTTATAATAGCTGTTATATTGCTCTGCAGCTGCAAATCTCCACAAGTACCTCAATGCAAAAGGATATGAAGGAGGATTCCAAATATTAGAACTTGACCAAATTTGGATCCGAAGCGTGAAAACGAAGCACCAACTCACTGGATCCAAACCAATTCAGAACTTAAATATTTAGAAACCTTATTTTTAAAAGATGACTCCATTCTCCCATCTCATGCACCTCCATTCACTCTATCTCTTATCCCTCCACCTCCACTTTCTTTCCCATTCATTTTCTTTACTTTTTTTTCATTCCACTCCATCTTCCTCCATACCTAGCTTTACTGCATTTCCATTCTATCATCCATTCCTCAAGAGGCTTACTATCATCCATTTTCATTACATCATCATTTTACCAAAAATACTAAAAATATAGTGACTTATTTTTATTTTCATTGCATGTATTTAGCTGTAGTTCAATTTAATTTTCAAAATCCAAACCCCTTTCATTGTATTTCATGACATTTTGTCTAGCTTAAGTCATTAATAAAGGCTCCATGTAAACACGACCTGGATTACACTGCTATACTGCATTCCTTAAATCTAGTTATAAATTTCTTGCATTTGGCCTCAAGGCATCACTAGATGTGGGAATATGGACGGGCCTTGCAGGGCTGGCGGGCTTAAAAAGGTTGGTTCTATAAGGCTGAAATTTTAAAAATATCTTAATTTGCTAGGTCCAACCCTCAAGCTGACAGACTAGGGTTGGCTCGGAGGCTTTTAACCCGTTTGAGGGGGGGAAAAGCTATTTTTCATATTTCTCACTTTTTTATGGAAAAAATAAAAACAAACCAATAAAATTATTAATAAAAAAACAGAACTATGAATAAAATTAAGTCACAAATACTAAAAATCATGATATCTAAATATTCATCAACATCCAAAAACATCTAAAACATCCATAAACAAGACAACAATATTCAAAAATTTTAACAATAGCGCAAATACACAAAAGATGAATACCATTATTAATTTTTTAAAACGTCATATTATTATAACCAATTACTCTTCAAGTTTTTCTTCTTTGTAGAAATTTTACTTTTAAATTTTACAATCTAACTATTATTTTACTTTAGTTTAAGAAGCATTGTTGTTTAAACTCATAAATTTCTAATTCAAAATATAGAATCACAAATTATATAAATATAAAAATACTCTCTTATCAAATATATATAGTTTTAAAACATCAACATATATAATATAAATCAAATTATTATTAAAGTCCAAATTAACCCGTTTTTTAAAATTTAATTGGATAAATAATTGTCTAAAACCAAATAAATCAAATCATTCTGTGAAATTTAATTTCATAATGATAATAATAACCAAATATTTGAAATATTATTAACATGTTAAAAAATTAAGAATATTAAAATTATACAAAAAATTTTTTTTAAAAAAGTCCGTTTAGGCCCTCGACCCTATAGGGCCGATCCTTTTAGGTCCGTTTCTCATTTGAAAAGAAAAATTTCAAACCCGGAACTCACAATTTTCAGGCCAGCCTGCTTGACTTGTTTTTCTGGCTCTAGGCATAACAACATAGTCAAATCATTTACACAATAATATTGTTATATTTTATGACATCAAATGATGATTGCCATTGACAACTCAATGAAAACCTCTTGATAGGTTAGGGAGTGTACATTGGCAGCTAAATTTATGGGATAACATAACATTCACATAAGATCAAATTATAACTAAATAGTATTATATAACAACTTTTAAGCTAGAAACATGTGTGATAAAAGCATTCACATTGATATTAGATGAAATGATGGGTTTATAGCATAATTTTGTTGCACACAGCTATTGACAAGCTCACCAGCTTCAATTAACAATGCAATGGGAACCTGTTGACAGGTATAAGCATTGGATTTGACAAGTGTAGCAAAATATAAACATGACTTTATGCCATATTACTTTCATATTTCATGTACAGCTGAGATGTGCATGTATAATATAATTATACCAAATTAATAACCTATCCAAAAAATCATATGGGTTGTTTGCCTATCTAATGACCCCTTAACTTGGCGTGAATGTAATGATGTTTATAAAAAACATATATATTGTCACATGCATTCATAAAAAAATTGTCACGTGTATTGACAAAAAAATAAAATAAAAGAGCCACAAACAAAGCTCAACTTAGATTGGGATTCTAATAAGTCTTTGTTGTCTGGCCAAACCCACGGTATTTTTCACATTAATAAACCTTTTTGTTTAGAAATTGAGATTCAATCACATTTCTTTTTGGCCTTTCCAAAGGTTTTTTTAGTAATTGGTAGATATAAGAATGTTCCTATTATCATTAATAACATAGAAAATGCATCTGAACCTCTGAACATGTATTTCACTTGGCAAAACAAGATAAGAGTTGTTAATGACAGCTTTCAACCACTAAAATGACAATCTAAGCAGCCGCCACTTATAGTGGATGACATTACTTCAAAATCAAAATAAGAAAACACCACTTACACATATTGTTCTTCCCTTATATCATTCATTGTTAGCCTTGAATTTCCATCTTCATTTTCTTCAATATATTCATGACCACTTTTTCCGTTGAAATTAATTAAATATTTCATATCTTCATCATCTACAAGCTTAGTGAATATATTATTCATTAAAGGTGACTGTAAATTTGATAACAATTATGCTCCTCCCCCCTCCACTGTCAGTGCTATCATTGTTCTAAAATCATCATATATTGTACCTTTTTTATCATTCTTGTTCTCACAACACTGTTAACATATTGTATTTCACCTTTTATGCCAAATAAATTGTCTCCTTATATGAAACAAACAAAATAGACGTCATGAGTGATAGCAAAGCCAAGCCGGATAGGCTTTTTATGTCGAAAGCCCCAAAACCAGCTATCTCATAACAGACAACTAACGCAGGCCTACTCAACTAATCTCTCAATTGTCACTGCCTGGCCTCTCTTGCTACCATGGTAGCACCTAGTATGGTTAGCACCAATCGTGTTCGGGCAACAAAGCTTACACTCATTCACATTGGTTTGAGAACCTTCTTGAATGACAAGGGTGAGAGATCAACTGTCATCTTTCTCACCCTAAAGCGTTTCACAAATGAACTTGCCATCTTTTATATCAACTTGTGATAGACACTTGTCATTGGTAAATAAACTAGTTACATTGAAAACTTTTGATGCCTCTGTTAACAACACATTTTTTCTTTACATGTCAGGGGTTCTAACAACAAAAACTTTTTATATTCACTCATTTTCATCGAAAACAAAGTATCATATAATGAAAAACAGAACATAAATTCATAGTCCTACCCATAAATCATGAAACTACACCTAAAATTATAAAGATCACATGTGATCAAAATGGGTCACCCTTGATAGAACACATGAGCTTAATCATATCCTCAATAATCACACACTCACACACAATCAACTTTCAAAGAAAGATTAAACTTCCAAGGACTATGGGAAAAAAGAAGATCAGTGATGTTAATGATAAGACCTATAACAAAGATAAAGCCAAAAAAATAGCTTTCCTAAAATAACGAAGATGATGAAAAGGTTGCAGAGTTCCTTTCTCTCTCCATCACACTTCTCCCCCTCAGGCAGCAAGAGAAAAAGTATGAACTGAACCCTCGTCTTGTCCCTTTCTCTTTCTCAATCAATCAAAGCATAATTAGCTTTTCACAATTATAATGTTTTGATCTGAGGTTCCCATGTACTTGGGACTGAATTTTGGATTTCAAGGAATTTTGAACGAATAAATTGTGTTGTTTGAGACCTATATGTCATTTTTTCATTATTTTATAATCAACATTGAGCTAGTAGCTGCAGGTATAACTTGACTTCTTTATGTCAGACTTGGATTCGTCTACTTTTTTACTACTCCAAATTTGAAAAACATCATTTCATTAATTGTATCTTGATTATAATCTCATTAAATTTTTTTGGTAATTAAACAAGATTTCAATGGTTTAAGTTTAATGGACTTTAAACAAAAGTATCATTCTTAAGTTTTATACTACCTCTATTTTTAATATAGGAGTTTGTTAAGGTATTGAATTTAGTCTCAAATATAAAATCTCAATCCACTTGATGTTATAATTTTTTAAATTATTCTTGTTGATTATAAGAGATTTTTACAAAGGTATGATTTTAATGCACATAATTAAAAATAGTAGTTTAGAGAAGCTAACATATATTAATTATATACAACCAGTTTAACTAATTTTTTTTATTTTTTAAAAATTAAATATCTAACTCTTATGTAGAGAATCATAAGTACTCCTCCGATCTTTAATATAAGACCTAATTATTAAGTTAATTTTGATTCTAAATATAAGACTTATTTATTATATTTATTAATTTTTCTTAAATTACTCCTCTATACGTATACTTCCTCAATCATACTCGAGTAGAAGAGAGAAGGAAGATATTAAGAAAGATAATTATGGTGTTTTAGGAAAAACATGTCATGTTCCTTATAATTAGCTAACTTATCTAATTTTTTTAATCTAATTAAATTAGTTAAATAGATTTTATATTAAGGATCGAAGGAGTATTAAGGATAAGATACATATGACTTGAAATGCAACTGAGGGCATGCGCGCCCAGTGAACATGATGCGGGCTATATGTTGCGAGAAAAAATGACGAACAAAAATCCCATGAGGCCCAGCCCAGTGGAAGGCCGCGCGCAAATCTGATGCAATTGGTTGGATTTTCTGCCAATTGACCCTGGAAACCCTAGAAATCATGATATGAAAAATCCCGCGTCCATTCGCACCGGTTTCATCACGCTGCGGAGGCAAGTGGAGGGAAGACAGAGAGACCAAGATGCAAATCTTCGTCAAAACCCTAACAGGGAAGACCATAACTCTCGAGGTCGAGAGCAGCGACACTATCGACAATGTTAAGGCTAAGATTCAAGACAAGGAAGGTATTATTTTTTTCCCTTTTAATTGCTCATCACACTCCGTTTAGATTTGTAGTAGTGGACTATTCAATGTAAATACGTATAATTTGAATTTATCAGGCATCCCACCGGATCAGCAGCGTTTGATTTTTGCTGGAAAGCAGCTTGAAGATGGTAGAATTTTAGCTGATTACAACATTCAGAAGGGTCCGTCGCTGAACATTTATCTCCAATTATAAATAGATTTATGTGTATTTTTCGAGCAATTGCTTATTTGTTGATATTTCCTTCAGAATCCACGCTTCATCTTGTACTGAGGCTTCGTGGCGGTATCATAGAGCCTTCTTTGATGGCTCTGGCTCGCAAATACAATCAAGACAAGATGATCTGCCGCAAGTATGTGTTAAGTTTATCCGTCCTATTTTTTTTTTTTTTTGGGTTTGTGGTGCACTGATAATGCCTTATGCGGAGTAATGAAGTTTTGAATTGCATAGAGCCTTTTTAGTCCCGCTTTGGTTGTCTGTGGCATTTGGCCTTAGTTGGCATGGAAAAGTTTTGAAGCAATCTATCCATTTTTTTTTTCCTGATAGCTCTATTTGATGGGTTTTATCACTTCTCATCCAAGATGTCCATGGGAGTTACTTGACAATTGCCTAGCATCTTTTGCTTTATAAACGTGCAAAAGAGGGATTGGTTGCTCCCAATATTGAATTCCATTTGCAACTTTGTCAACCGACTTCATTCAGTCGCAGTTGATTTTCATGGGTGGTACATTATAATATTGATATTGATTCTCTGACTTTAAATGCGAAGAATAAACTTCAGAGTACATTCTATTCTCTCTGAGGAAGTCGGAAGATTAAATAATTGCGTATTCATTGAATCTGCTCTGTTTGAGAATTGTGCTGTCGACTTGTCTGGCTGTTGCTCCTCGAGATCAATGCTCAACAGGGAACTACAAGTTGAACCCTCATTTGCCATGGAAAGTGCAAAAGAGGGCATCCTAGTTCCGATATCAATCTCCGTGATCTTATTTTATCAACCGTGGTCCTAAACTGGCGGTTGATGTTCCTGTTTGTCATGTCACAACCCAATGCATGATTGCAAGGGAACAAAAACAGTTGCAGTGAATACATTGTATTTGTATTCTCTTGTGGCGGGAATGCAATTACTTGGTTTTATTCTCTACATTGTGTCTTGGCTGAATTGCACCACCATATCAATATTTATTTTTCCGCATAGAGCCAATTTTCAATTTACCGTCGTTGTGGACTTTTGAAACCAGTTTCATATTATTGGCTTGTTAGATGCTATGCTCGTCTGCACCCCAGAGCTGTCAACTGCCGGAAGAAGAAGTGTGGCCACAGTAATCAGGTTTATAGAATTTTCTGCCTCTCTGTGATTTCCATGTACCTATGAACTAACCCCTTGTTCTTTCGTCCTTTAACGGTTAAAACCTGTTCATTGCTGAGTGTCATTGCTTACCCCTTGCAGTTGAGGCCAAAGAAGAAGATCAAGTAAATAGCTGGTATAGTTTGTCAGATGAACTATAATTATGATTCTTGGACACAGGACCGGTTTTGGATCGCATCAATTGTACTGATTATTTTATGGCCTTATCCAGCGTTGATGGTTTTGGACTTGATGTTTCTGTTTTTAATTATATTGTGTCCATAAAACTATAATGATTTATCAGTATCTTTATTTTAGTTTGCAGTTCGTTATGCTCGTATGTGTAGGTTCTTTTCAAAGTATTTCTGTGATTTGGTTTTCAAGTGGAACATTTGAGCTGGTTATAGCCGCCCAACCTACATTTCAAAATTGCATTATTTATTATGATTATATTATTTATTAACATTATGTCTGAGAAATTAAAAAAATAACGTCTGCACATTAAATGTTTTGTACCTTTGTTTGAATTGTTTGAATTTTTGTAATATTTTGGATAATTTGTTAGTAGGTTTAACTGAATTATATGTTGTTAATGTTGGGGATGATTAATTGGTTATTTATATTTAGTTTTAGTTACACTTTAGATATGATATCAATATGTCAGAAACAAGACCCTACTAGGTTGTAATTAACCAAGAAAGAGGAGGAAACATATTTCGACATGTAGTGAAAATTGGCACCAGTAGAAATTAAACAGAAATGTGGTGGGTTTACACGCCTGTACTCGTGGCGGGCATTTCCACCTTCATAGAATATGGTATGAGACATTATCACCAAATGAAAAATATATATATATATATATATATATATATATAGAGTATGAGATATGATTTCTTGGCAGCCAATATTCAGTAATCTAGTAATACAGGGTGTTTATGCAAATGTCTTGGGGTCTCAAGAAGCTTAATTCAGTCTCTGTTTTTCTTTTTGGGCAAATGAAAGTAGATATTTATTGCAAAGGACAATTACGTCAATCTAGGCCTTGATCCATCCTATCATCGTTGACTGCGGGGTTGGTCAAAGGAGACATAGGCCTTGTTTGGATTGCCGTTTGTGATGTGTGAAATTGAGGTTTGTGACTTATTTGGATATAATTGGTTGTTTGGATGGGCTTTTACACTAAGTGTTTAGCTCCAACGCTCAGCAAAGTGATTTCTGGACTGTTTGAAAATGCAATCTACCATTAGATTGCATCAAACGAGCATTTGAAATTTTCACGTGTCATATTTACCCCTCACATTTTCCCCTCAGTTTTCACTAACCTCTTCTCCTTCTTCAGTGTTCTTGTGCTGCACTCCCTCATAAATGAATCAAGCATTACATTCGACCGCCGTTCTCCCTCTCACTGTAGCTAGGTCTTCTTTGTTCTTTGCTCTTGTCGACTCTTCTCCATCTGTCGCTCTCATCAGCTTTTCTCCCTCTGTTGTTGTTGCCGCGGCACACATCAAAAACAGATATCCCTTTCTCTTCTTCCCTTCGGCCGCTCTTGTCCCTCCGTCACTATCGTTGACGCTTTGGGCCTTCTCACGGCCAGCACACTTGAAAAAGGGCTCCCTTTCTTCTTCTGTTGGCGTGGCAGGTAGTTCGTTTTGCCTGCATCACCACCCTTTATCCAATCCAAATTGGTGTTCTCCTCCCTTTCTTTTCTGTCGTCTGTGTGGCCTTCGGTCTTCCTGATTCTTCAACAGTGTTCAACTATGGTGTGCTTTGTAGTGCTGGAATATAGGTACGTAGTTAAATAACTAGATCTAGATCTCTGTTCTTTGATTGATCGGTTCCCCTTCTGGTTGTCTGATTTGTAGATCTGGTCCTTTGTAATGCTTGATTACCTAATGCTTGATCGATTATAGTGTTAGAATAGTTACCAAATGTAATGCTTGATTCTGTTATGGCTTTTAATTAACTGAAGGACATGGTTATATGGCTTCATTTCCTGCTTGTTAATGAATTACCGTTTGCATTCAATTTGTGCTGCATTATGGAGATGCCGGCAGTGTTAGATTTATTTGGGTTTGAAAATTCATATCTGTTGAAAATATGAAATTATTGGTACTTAATGCTCTAGAGGTGTCTTAAAATCTTTGCTAAATAGGTAGACATGGTTGAGGTTCCTCATTCATGTTTCATATATGCTGAGAACATTATTCCTCATTCATGTTTCATATGCTAGGAACATTATTCTTCCCATTCAGAGATTTCAAATTTTTTATATATTGATCAAGGATACTGAGGATGATGAGTGATATATCATAAATTCACTTTGCAGTGTAATTATATATTTTTCAATCTGAAACTATGACGTTGAGTTTTAATTTCTAAAATGTTCACTTTATTTACACAGATCTTGAAAGATAAGGAAGTTTAAAAACACTTAAAATAAATGTATTTCTTGGTATAAAAAAATATTTCTATCTTGTAAAATTAAAAAAATACGGTGAATATACTCTACGAATTAATCTAAATAGCTTTGATATGAATTTTATTTATGTGAATTTACTTTTGGTGATAAATTGATTAACATATATTCTTGTGATTAAATTTTGGCCTTTTAGTTTTTTCGATCGGCCTAATAACGTGGGCCTCATCTAACCATTGGGACGTGATATTTTGTTGTTTATACTATTTGATTCTAGACTAATTGTGGGTTTGATATATGCGTAATTTTAATGAGAACTATGAGTAACGATAAAAGCAAAGTATATTGGGATGTGAGCACCACAGGTGTCTTTCTCAAAGCATGTGTTGACCAAATTAATAGTGAACATTGTCAAGGATCTTCATTTTCAAAGCAAGGTTCGGATAATATTCATAAAGCATTTAAAGAAAAGACAGGCAGAGCATATGAAAAAAAAAAGGGGAGTTGAAAAACAGGTTAGATAACTTGAGAAAAGAGTGGAAGACATTTAAGTCACTAATTGCTAAGGAGATTGGTATAGGATGGGACCCTGAAAGGAACACAGTGGTTGGAGAGAAAAAAATGGATATGAATTAGCTTGTGTTAATTTATAGGTGGCATTATATTTTTGAAAGTGATTTAAATTTGGTTTACTATTGACTTTGTAAGAAAATTCAGTATATGAAAAGTTTAAGCACCATCGGTTGAAGTTTCGAGTTGAATTAGAAACCATATTCAAGGACGCTATAGCATTAGGAGAGGATATGTGGGTATCATCTTGAACCTAGCCTGAGCCACAGGGGGTTGGTCAGCCAAATGAGTACCAACCAACAATGGATTGGGAAAAAGGTTCACGCGATAGTGAAGACGGGTTTTTAAGTCTTGACATTGGATGTTGTGCAGTAGTTTCGGATGATTTGGACAGTATCAATTTAACTACAAATACATCGAACACTGCGCCCATTGTACCTAATGGTTTAGGAAGTCAAGAGAAGAGGAAGAGAGGTGAAGGGTTGGATAAGTGCAAGAAGCAAAAATGTCAACAAAAGAAAGTTCATGTTCCCATAAATTTCTTATCAATATGTTAGAGTTAGTATAAAATGTTATATTATGCTTTGTCGATTTTCTAATCTTAGTATTTTCAAATTTTCCTATGTGAAACCTTTTTTTATAAATAAATACTATATAATGTCAAGATTTCATGGTTTAATTTTGTTTTCAAAATAATATTATTTTAAATTATAAAAGGACATTTTAATCTTTCGATAACATTCAAAAATTCCTAATAAGGCTTATTGGCATAATTAAGAATTTATTAAAAATACAGGCCTTGATTTAAATTTTAATATTTTAAGAGGATTTAATTAGGATTTTCCCTATGTTTTTTTACCTTAATGTGTTTGGTGACTATGTGTGTTTAATGACTATGTTTAATATTGTTTGTTTAATGGTTATGTTAAAGTTTAATGACTATTTATATATTATCTTTTCTTTTCTTTTTTTGTGAAAGTATTATTCACATTTAGTATTTAACCACTCACATATTACATAATGCATGTCTGTTCAATGAAGGGTTGAGGCGAAGGTTGGGATGATGATTGGTTGCTTTCTATGAACACATAACACAATTATCAGAGTTAAATGTATTAATGGTCAGTATGTGACACCTTAATAGTTATGCAGAACTAGTGAACAAACATGTTATTTATGGGTAAAGAACTTTTGCATGGGCATGAAGGACGGTGTAAGGAGATGTTTTGAATGAAAATAGATACATTCCATTAGTTATGCTCTAAATTGATTGAACATGGGGTACAAAATTCTAAGTACATAGGTGTTTGTAAATCTGTTACCATATTCTTGAATACAATTAATCGTGGCCACTGTAATAGGATGATTCAAGAAAGGTTTCAGCGTTCAGGAGAAACTGTCAGTTAACATTTTCATAGAGTGTTTGATGCTTGCCTCAATTTATCTTGAGAAAATATCAAGCCGATTGATCCTGCATTCTCTTATTGTCACTTGAGAATAGCAAATGATCCATGATACTTCCTATTTTTTAAGGATGCAATTGAGCAATTGATGACACTCACATAAACTGTAAGGTTAGTTGAGTTAGGCAAGGCAAATATATTGGGAGGGAGGGATTTTCCAGTCAAAATGTCATGGGCTATATGTGATCGGGATATGTGCTTCACTTTCGTATTGGTAGACTGGGAAGGTAGTGCCCATGATACTCATGTATTTCATTCTGTTATTTCAACTCCATCCATGAATTTTCCTCATCCACCTAAAAGTATATTTATTTAAATTTCAAATCAATAATTTTTTAAATTCAACTTCAATTGTATTATTTTCACCTCAACATAATTAGGTCATGATTTCCTAGGCAAATATTATTTGGTTGATACTAGTTATCCATCACAAGTGTGATACCTTGGCCCGTATAGGCATGAGCGTTATCACTTTTAGATTTTAATCGTCAACTAGGATTTAGAAATGAGAATGAGACCTTCAATTATTATCATTTAAGTTTAAGATGCACTATTGAAAGGTTTGGAAGAATAGGTTTGCAATCTTAAGAGATATACCCAAATTCAAGTTTCAAACACAAGTCTGCATAGTTTGTGCAACAATAGCTGTTCATAATTTTATCAGGTAAAATTCTTCAACCGATAACCGCCTTATACAAGTTGAACATGAAAGTGTAATAGATGAAGACAATAATTATGCTCCTGATGAGACATCCTCATCAAGTTCAACATCTGCCGTATAAATGAATTGTATTCGTGACTCAATTAGAGACCAAATTATGCAAAGCTTATGATCTAATTAGTTATGTGATTTCATTTACTTTAATTAGAGGACAATTGAATTTTAATTTATATTCATGTTTGTTGATTATATATATTTAATTAATTATTTACAATGTGTTTCCAAATTTTTCTTGATAACAAATATTTTTATTTTATAATTTCACAAATAAACTATTTTTATTTTATCATAATAATTTTAGGTATTTTTTTTAACTATTGTCACATTAAAAACATATAATATCAAACACTACTATTTAATAAAGTTCATGTCTTTTTTTATCATTTTACAACTAAACTTATTTTTTCTATTAATCATCCAAATAACTTTTAACTTTTCCAACTGACTTTTTATAAGCACCTATTCAAACATAAATTGTATTATACTAACTGGTTTTTATTCTAACTTTAGTTTACAAAAGTCAGTTAAAATAGAAGTTAATTTTATCTCCACTAATCTAAATACACCCATAATCAATGCTCACGCGATAACCTAGCCGAAATATTGGGCGCTGCCCTTCCTTCCGTTTAAGGGATGGGGTGATTTGGGCCAAGGGAAGAAGGGCCCAATATTTTGAAGCTCAAAGAAAAATGCTTTATAAGAAGAAAATGTACTGTGAATACAGCTTTAAGCCAATAAAATATTTTGTGATGGCCAAAAAACGCTAGAAAGTTTTTTGACTATTGGGTCTTTTAGGTTTTTTTCCCCAAAAATTGTCGCCTACAAATATTTGAGTGAAAGTTATTTTTCTTTAAAGTATTAGCCTTTTATTTCCCAGTCCAAATTATACCTAGCATCTCTCCTATGGCATTAGGTATGAACCTAAGGAATAATGGAGCAGGGTCATGGCCCGGGCTAATTCTCAGCAATGCCTTTTTTAGCAGGAAATGAGAAATTGTCATTTCAAACAAGTTATCATTAAAAAATTAACTTTTTATGTCTATCCAAAGAGTTTGCATAGTCTGCGTGTGAAAATGAAGCGCCTGTTGCATTGGTGGTAGAAAAAATAGCTTGTTTTTAATTTAATTTTTAAAAAAGTTAGATTGGGTAAAAATTAGATTGGTTGATGTGATTTATATTTGGATTAGCTTTTGAAAAAGTTAGATTAGATGAAAGTAGAAGTTGTTTATGGATGATGATTGAATAAGTAAGTTTAGTTTGCAAAATTATTAAAATGGGTATGACTTTTATTCAGTGATAAAAAATGAAAAAGAATTATCAAGTTACATAATATAATAATGTTAAATTATTTTAGTAGGAAAAAGTTAAATTTAAATTTAATAAATAAAATTTATTTAAATTAAAAATTATTATGCAGTGAAGACAACATTCAATGGATGCCGCCTTTGGTTGCTTCAATACCCAATAAACATTGGCTTTCACTCCCTCCAAACAATGGCAAAACTCCTCTCTTCTTCCAGTTCGAAGGCTAAACACCATCAGTACAGCGGTCATTAATTTCTTCATCTCTCTAAACTCGTGCTTGCCGGTTCTTAGATATGTGTTCCCTGAGCTCATATCTAGTTGTCCTCCAGCTCCTCCCTTGTGTTCTGGTCGCCATGAAAAATCAAAAGATGAACTGTGCCTAACCAGTCTCGTCGGCCACCAGAAAAAGGTCTAGTCAGTGAACTCTCCCTCTCCCAGGATGATGAAGACGATGATCACTACTCCCAAAGTCACCTTAAAAGCATGATTTCATGAGTCATAAGCTGGAGGATCCTACTTCTTCAATTGGGCTTAAAAATCGCAGCTTTTGGTCATAAGTAAGATTGAACAAAAGCTGAACCAAACATCCCACTGAGAAGCCAATCGTGCTTATGCTTTCAAAAGCTACTTAACCAGTGCTCAAACGCTCATCCAAACGGAGCCGAAATTAGTGTGCAGAGCCCTGCTCAAGCCCACGCAGGCAGTAGATGTGGATTCCCATTGGATTCCTAAGGAAACGACGAGCTTCATGTTAAAAATTCATTAAACGGATAACTTTTTTTCATATTTGCCCGTACTAAAGACGATATTAAAAATATATTTTATATTTTTTTCTCATATATTTACTGTCTCTCTCTGCATTTATTAAATTAATAAGAATAAAATTGAAAAAACTCAGACTTATACTCTTCCAATTCTTAATATAGGACCCAATTCTTAAGTTGGTTTTGGTCTTAAATATAAGACTCATTTCTAATATTTATCAATTTTCTCTAAATTACCCCTATGGATACTCCATCAACCACAATCAAGTAGAAGAGAGAGGGGGTATTAAGAAAGATGATTATGGCATTTTAAGAAAAATGTATCACTTTTATTATAATTAACTAACTTACCTAACTTCCTTAATCTAATCAAATGGGTCTTATATTAAGGATCGGAGGAGTATTTAGGAATAAATTTTTTCTTACAAGTGATTTATAAATAGGAATGGAATGGTAGTGTTAACTTTTCAAGTATATCATCTTATTTTAAAAAAGCCTCTTGCATTATCCCTACTCTATATTTCTAGATATGGCACAAATAACATCCTCAATGAGCAACCCCCTGTGACAAATTTCCGAGATGTTGGTGAATTATTTGCGCAACACTACCCAGTAGTATTCCATTTCATCTTCTCGAAGTTAAATCCCGATTGTAGAAAGCGCGTGGAAGCTCACTACCCACTATTATCCCATATAAATTACCACTACAAGATATATTATTCACAGGAATAAGTACTAAATTGTTTCACTTCGTTTTATTCCTTCGGGCTTGTTTTGCTTTTCGGTGAGAAACGATGACTCGAAGGCCTTATTAACAGACACAAAAAAACTTCTTACAAAACATAGGTAACTCGTCGAACCCGGCCACGGGTTATTCCACACATCCATAATCTTCTATTTATTTGATGGATGCATAACTAGTGCTCAGTTGGGGAAAAAAAAACAGTATAAAGTGTAAACAAAAAACTACCGCAGAGAAAAAGAAAGAGCAGACACTACAAGAAGCTCTAAAAAGAAAAGAAAAGGATACCCTTACATGGTTCGCACCTGTGCTTATTAAGCATAAGAAACTAAAGAAACATCATAAAAACATAGAATTGAAGTCTTCTATATCCTATATCTGGATCCTTCTCCTGGTATTTAATACCTCTCAGCAGATTTCATGCTCCAAGCGTTGAGATTCTCTACTGCGATAGGCTCCGTGCCATTGTTGAACACAAACAAGTGAGCTTCATTCTGCACTGCCAGCTCAGGATAAACCCTAGATAGTATGTTTGTCTTCCCTCCTGCTCCAAAACTTTCCACCACAGAGTGATCAATCTGCCATATTCATACACAAAAATAACTTACTGTTAACCCTAACTCAGTACTAACATTCCAAAAGAAATGACAGAAAAATCTTCACATACCAGACTCCTAAGAGGAAGCTTCTTACTTGCCAAATCAACATCTACAAAGCCAGCAAATGATGGCTTGTACGCTGTCTTCTTCAAAGTGGAGCTGCTCGATCAGAAATTCAAAAACCAAAACCAGCCCGTTAATTACAAGAACCCTCTAAAACGAAGGTTTTTTTTCTTTTCTTTTCTTTTTTTTTAGTGTGATGACAAATTAAAGGAAGTGTTAATATAAATTTTTATCTTTTAAATTTATCTTCATTTTAGTTTTGGTTCCTTAAGTTTCAAATAATAAGTTTTAGTTCCTCAAGTTTCTTTTCATTTATAATATTGATTCTTATAATCTAATAAAAACTTAAACTATGTTGTCCCTTGAGATACTAAAGCTTATGGTTTAAAACTTAAGAGAGTAAAATCAAAATAAGAACAAATTTAAAGGAGTAAAAATTATATTAACTCTTAAAGAAATAACATACCTGCTCGCATCAGAGCACAAGAGAACCACGTGCTTGTCTGGGGCTTTGAAAATTCTGAAAAACACAGGAGAGAACTCCTCCAGGTTTTGTGAGGCCAACGTAAGAAGCCCAAATGGGCCAACACCACCTTGAACCTTTGAACCCTTTTGGGCACAAATATCCTGTGCATTCTTCCAGCTTGGATCAAATGGCTCCGCATTGTCCAAGCTTGTGAAAGAGAAGCTCGCTTCCACGTCAGCCTACACCATCCTCAGCAATTAGAAAAATAGGAACCTATGGTCAATGAACCTAAACCAACAATTTTCTTCCATATAGGATATATAATCAGACCTGAGCAGCAGTGATTCCTTTTACTTCAACGTGATCTCCCTTTTGAAGCATTTGATTGGTCATCGTAACTTGCTCCCCTCTTAGACTGTTTAACTCTTCAATGGGCCATTGCACCAATTGTCTTTTACTAGGATCGAGCCACAAGGTTCTTGGAATTGCCTGAAGAATGTTTACGTAGTTACATATATTTGCATATATATATATATATATATATATATCCTTCTACATGATGAAAGTGAATTGGAAACAGGTAAATTAAGTTACCTGAATTCCTGCCCATCCTTTTAAAACATCCTCTTTGGGAGTATCAGATTCGTTCGCCCAACCCCACAAGATCCTTCTGTTCTTGCTCGGATCGAAGAAGGACTTGGAAGCATAAAAGTTACCATAATCGTATCGAAGTCCACCCCAACCATCTTCTGAAGTGTTATCAGGGACATACTTGTCTGTGCTGGTGGAATATGTTCCAAGTGTGTAGTATTCATACCTAGTTAGGTCGAGACTGTTCTTCAACACATGCTTCACATTTTGTTCATCCATAGCTGACAGGTCCAATCCGCCTTGCCCCTCCAACAAAACCGGGTAGAAGTCGGGGCACTCCCACATACCCGTATTCGCTGAAGAATGGAGCGGGTGTTTGGCCTTGATCCATGTCAAAAAGTCCCTACTTCTATACAAGTAGGCCATCCCTCTGTGCTTCCTCTTACTGCCCACCACGATCCTCCAGTGGCCGTCTTTACTATACCAGGCGGTCGTTGGGTCGCGGAATGCGCTTCCATTCACGCCTTGCTCCGCCACCACAATAGGGTTATGGAGGTCCGGCTTGATCCATTTCCGGAGATACGGATCAGATACATTCTCCGGTACAGCATAGCATTGGACCTGGGTGTTCTTGTCATCAATGATTCCGGTGTAAAGGATCACGGGTCCTTTGCCCGGGACGACAGTGGCGGATCCGGACCAACATCCATATTTGTCCCAGGGTTTGGATGGGTAAATGGCGGGTTCAAGTGGGGTCCAATTGATGAGGTCCTTTGATACTGAGTGGGCCCACACTATGTTGCCCCACACGGCTCCCTTGGGGTTATACTGGTAGAAGAGATGGTACAGCCCTTGATAGTACATAGGCCCTGTGACATACAGCTAGGACAAGTTAAAGAACATTTTGAGACAACGATCATGGAAGTTGTTTGAAATTAAAGGCATCGATGGCTCACCATTTGGATCTGCTTCACATTAATTTGTGCACCACGCCAATTTGACGACGCCCCAAAAGGATTAGCAAGCCAAACAAATTAAGTAGTTAATCACCCATGACAAGTGTGTATATATATTCCAGGAAGAATGTGAAATTAATGTGTTTCAAAAGGATGTCAATTTCAGTACTTTTGCTTTTAGCCATTAAAAGGCAAGAGGATGATGATAACAGTTTAGTAAGCATGCTTTTTAACAATGTCTTAAGGGGGTGTTTGGATAGAAGCCAAACCATAGTTTCAGAAGTGCTTTTACGGATTACGAAGTAAATATGTGAAGAAGGTTACCTCGTTTTGCGGAAAAGTGATTCTCAAACCGTGGTTTTGGTTTTGCTAAACACCCCCTTAAAAAGTATAATGTTTCACATAAAACATATAATCACTAAAAAAGTCCAACAACATACGAGTGAACTGCTTATATGGGACTATGCTAATTTTTCCTTTGAAAAATTACACGAACCCTTCAGTTTTAAAGTTACATGAAATTAAGAACTCATCAGAATTCTATATATCTTTAACATGCGTGGCACATTTTTGTTTGCCTAAAAATATGCAGTACGGTATTTCATTATAATCATCAACGTCGACTCGCAGCAACTCTTGATTCCCATGATTAAGATGTAAATATACGATTGGAATAAATCAGACAGAAGTTATAGGGTTCATATATTTATAAACTGATTCCTGGCCAAAAAAAAAAAATTTATAAACAGATTATACAAAAAGCGAGGTCGAACGCCACGAGATTATTCGGTTACCGAAAAATTCTTCGCATTGCAAGATCGTACACGATCTTCGACTGTTTCCATTAGATTTCTCACTCCACCTCCCTTCCAATCAAACACATAAAAACATACACGCATCTCTCTCCTCCTAATAGATTTTGATCCTGGAGTTAACTTCCCCCTTTGGTTTCGTTCTTCACCCCATGTTAATGTTACGATACGCAGAGTGATTACAAATAACGATGCAGAACATAATAATAATAATAAAGAAAAGAAAACAATACTTCGCAAACAGAATAAAACTAAGGCCAAAAAAAGAAACACGTCATTTACGTGTTGAAAGAGACAAAAACTCAAAAACGGCTTAGTGAGAATAAGATCGAAGAAAGAAGATTACCGTTAATCCAATGTCTGGGAGGTTGAAAGTGATAGCCAGTTCTGTGAGTTTCCTGGACATTAAAAGGAGCAACAGATTGATAAGTTGGGAATACTCTATGAGAGGCTTCGACTCCTATCACACAAAGGAGGCTTAACAATAATATAAAAGCTGTGATATCCATTGTGAATCTCATTGTGTTATAGTAATCGTATTCACAACAAGAATGTTGGGAGTGATTGTGAGGGAAAGCGAGTGAGAAGAGGAGATGGAAGGTCACAGAATTTATAGAGACCATGAGGCGTGGCGCTATTGAAAATAAATATTGATATAGGACGGGCTTGGATTCGGGCGATTCTGTCGGGAAGCCAACTAGATCGTTTGATATGAATTTTAAATTTTAAATATTTATCCTAAAAATAGAACGTGATTAATGGATATCACCCCAATTCAAGGATTCGAGTAACGTTTTATTTATTTATTTATTTTTGTTATCCGTCAAAGAAAATATATGGAAAAAAAGAGGCAGAAATAATTTGTTTAAATAGCAAATAATCTTGTCACGAACCGAAATAATGAATATATGGATAATTCTTTTATTATCAGATTTTTTTTTTAAGAGGGGAAGATGACGGAAGAGGAAATTTAATCACATATATTCTAAACTTGTTTAATGCATGCATGAGATTTGAACGTGTCTTGTGCTAGTAAGATTGAAAAGTTTAATAATTATCCAAAAAATAAACAAAAGTTTAAAGAAATGACGTGTGTTGATAAGGATTTAATAATAATACTCAGTTGCTACTGATTAATAATCCTGGGAATTCCAATATTCGCGGCAGGGGAATGTAACGTGTTTTAATTATATTGAAAGTAAATAAAAGTAGTTTATTTTGAGGGGTGGTGTTTTTAAAATTATGCCTTTGATACGTGTGGTTTTTATTTAAATGAAAATAGTATGTTAAATATATAAATTTAAGTACTCAGAAACTCATTATGTGCATATACATGAAGATTCTTTTTTTTTTTTAATTTAACAGTATATTTACTATTTTTAATTTATAGATACACAACCGAAAAAAAAGTATTGCAGCAGATGTTCATCTAATTTTGAACAAATAAATTCAATCAGAATAAGTGAATGACTATAAAATTTTTTCTAAAATTATAACAATGCAGTTGTTAATTAAATGAATTCTAAGCATGCCAAACCAATTTGAAATTTTGAATGTTTGCGAACAAGTAATCAATAAAAACATAACTACATTAATCTAAAATATTTAATAATTTTTTTAAATTTACTAAAATAATTTGAATAGGACTAATCCAATTTTTCGATTAAGTCAGCATAACTTTTTTTTGTACCTAGTAATCATATAACTTGATATCAAGAAGTTAGAATATATATCAGTAATAATAGAAGTACAACCAGCTTTTGAATTCAGGGGGGCAATTTATTCCCTGAAAAAAACACAACATTAATTGATTGCATCACTAATTAAAAAGTGAGATTTGGTCCATAATGCAATAAATAAGTTTGACATGGTTCGATTAAGAGTTTGCATTAATTTTAATAAATTGAGATGACGATCAATAATGTAATAGTAGTTATGATGAATCATAATTAATTAATTTCAAACTTCTCAATTAAGAACTTGCCAAACGTATCTGAAAACTTCAATACAGGTAAAATCCAAATCTTTCTTTTCCCCCGCCAGAAGGTAAAATCCAAATCAATAAAAAGAAAAAACTATGTTTATTTCATATTATTTAAATTTTTGTTTTATTAAATAACTTATATAGCGTGTGGCGTGTGGGTCTAAATGTAATAATAAATTACTCGATTCTCTTTTTTTTTTTTTGCCAGAATAAACTACTCCTTTCGTTTCACATTCTCTCTCACAAAAATATTGATTTTAGGGAGAATTAGAGAGAGGGATCTATTGTGGATAATATTCATTCGAAAGGATTTTAAAAATTATAATTATTTAGAAAGACCAATCACTAAAATATAAATTTAAAAATACTATCTTGCTCCTAACTGAATCTCCTTTATTCTCTCTCACCATATCCTATTATTATATTATTTTTAAATGAAATAATGAAGAATTCAAACTGATCAAAATTACAAAGTTAGGAAGCAATTCTAATTAGTAAAATGAAATTAACAATCAACACTAATTAATTTATTTGTCTATCATTTTTTTAATTAACAAAACTCTTTTTTTTTTGCTTTTCATACTATTATTCTGTTTCATGCCTTATAATCCCAATTTAGGATTAAATTGAATCCTCTTAAATAATACAATTACAAATTTAAAAAAATATAATAATAAATAATGTATAACTTATTCATAACTTATAAAAATAAAAAAGTATTGTAGCAATTTTTTTTTAATGAATGTTACCACCTCATGTGTTCATATTGTGTGGTAAATGTTGGTATGTCATGTATATTTTTCTCAGATTTTGATATCATTGATCGTTAATATGATACAAGTTCAAGTCTTTTTATGTATGAAATTGAACACTGAGAATTTATTTTTAAAAAAAATATAGGGGGAAAAGATATAATAAACATTTAACCCAAATAAAAAGCTCTTTTATTCAATATTTAATATTTGGTGTTATTAGGTCAAATTTTTATCAAGTCTAAATAGAGATATCTCTTTCAATTTTATCTTTTATATTTATGTAGACTCAAATTTGAATTTTGGCACTCAAACTATTATAGTTACTTTTGTTATGATAAATACCGGTTGATATAATGACTTTTATATGCTATTTTTTATTTGAAACTTGTAATTTTATTAACCAATATGATTCAATTTATTTCTAAGGGCTGGGTTTATAAATTCATAATTAATGTCCTGAAATAAAATAAGAGTACCTTGCCAAAAAAAAAAGGTTATGAAATAAATAAATAAAAATGTGGTTGACTTTTATAACTTTGATAACTTCATCATTCAGAAAGCTTAAACAAAGTTTTATTGATTAAAAATGATGGAAAAATAAATTAATTAGTGTCGGTCATTAATTTAATTTGATTAATTACAATTGGTTTTGACTTTGTAATTCTAATTAGTTTGAATTAATATGAATAAGAAGTTATTATTTCATTTTAAAAAAGATAATTACAAGATATGGTGAGAGAGAATATAGGGGGTTTAGTTAGGGGCAAAACAATATTTCTAAATTTATATTTTGGTATTTGGTCCTTCTAAACAATTATAGTTTTTATGATCCTTTTCAATAAATATCATTCCCTCTCTCTAATTCTCCCTTGATTTTAATGTTTCACAATATTTATCAATTTCATATTTTAAGAAAATATTAATTTCTTGTTCTGTTTTTTGTTAATTTATGATTCTAACAATACATTAAACCATGGCTAATATTTGCTTTAAAAAATATTAATGATATTTTAAGAAACAATAGATTGGTTTTATAAAACCTGATCTTCATTTAATGATTTTTGGTTCTCTGCAAAAGCTTTTTTTTTTTTTTGTGACAAGTAAAGTGAAATGGAGACTAATGAATAAAGCTTACGCCATTTTGACACCCGTCCTTTTTAGAACTAAAGAGGGAGTGTTCATGTGGCCCAGTCCTACATGATAATTTGGGCAGTCTAGCCGCGCTAACACATAAATGCTAGCGAACTTATGTTTGTCTTCTTCTTGTTATTTTTTAGGTATATTTTATGTGATATATGATGGACACCGGACAATATTTTGGCATTTTATTGTTTTAATTTAATAAAATTTTAAATCAATTTTTCATTCAATATCATGTAAAAAAATTATTATTATCGAGCATCCAAATGTTTCAAAACATTTTACTTTTGATCCTAATGTTATTTTTCTAGAAATATTTTTCGAGCCAAAGTAGTTTTATTTTTTAATAAATGAAATTAATTTCTATTTCCTTTTAATTTTTTTAATCTTTTGTCAGATCGTTCTTAAGTCGTAACCATGCCGAACCTAGCTCGGCTTGTGAATGGGCGAAGCTTTCATTGGGTGGGGCACTAAACTGGAGGCAAAGTCAACTCAATCCACCTCGCCCTAACTACCCTCACTTTTGACTGGCTTGCAAGTAGGCAAACAACATGCTTTCACAAAGTCGTTGCTTCTACGGATTTTTTTAAAAGCTCTCTAACTGATAATTTATATAGGAAGGAATCAGTCATCCATTGAGATCAGAAATTAATGAATTGAGAAATTTGGTATTCATTGTGTAGGCTACCTAACGAAGCAGGTTCATCATCTGAGTGAATTCAAATACCCAGCCCAAGCAGCAGGGTCTAAGCGAATACTTTTGGAGAAATATCTTGCTACTTAACTATCTGTAATATAATTTCCAAGCTCCAAGCTTGCTTTTTCTATTAAAGTAGTGGCTCCTAGGTGGATTTTGCTTTCTCCTGTGGTCCGTCTATTTATTTATCTGCTGTTATTCGAATCTGAACATTCGATTTCGTAAACAGGTCTATGCGCGAATAATAATGTTCGGGAAATTCTGGACCTTGAAAAGGAGCGAGATGACTTTCAATTCACCCACCCGAAAATCAAAGGAAAGTAGAAACAATGCCTCCAGTGGCAAGAGGCTCAACAAATGATGATAATTTAATAGTGATGTGGACAGTTGAAGATGTTACAAATATCATAATTTCATACCCAATCAGATCCCCAGATGGGATCCGCATTACACTATGTCATCCGAGCATACATGGTTACAACTCTCAATGGTTGCCAAAAAAAAAAAACAATGTGATGTGATGCTACAGACACAATTTTGATCCCTTAAAGGGCATAAAGGAGCAAGTCCCCCATCCCACTCCGTTAGTTTAGCTGGCTGAGAGGAGAACGTGGAATAAGTGATGGTTTCAACTCCTTTACACCAAATGAATCATAAGAATTGTTTTCTCTGAATTCCTCAAGCAGAGATTCCATTGGCAAGGATCTTAGGGACTCTATTGTCTCCTTACTCGGAACATCTGACTCTTGTCTGATTGGTGTACTCCCAGTGGGTTCATAGTCCTGCAAGACACACCGAAACAAGAAAAGAAAAATCAAATGATAAATATCTAAAAGGCTCATTTGAGAATATGTAAATTCATTCTTCTGAATAGGATGGCCGAGGAGACGTACCCGATATTGCTGCCCAAAAGTTTCACGAGCCTTCTCTTTAATAGAATCAGCCTGGCCAGTGTGATCCTCTCTAAAAGTCTCTAGTGTGTTTGTGTGAGTTTTGACGACACCTAACATTCCACATATGGTTTCCCGCTCTTTCACATCGAGGTCTGCACAAGGCATTGCAGGACATGATAATATAAATGCAAAATATATACATTTAAAAATCTAAAATTCACAAAGTCCGCAACTATGGCATTTCCACAACTAAACCGAATCGACCAATTCAACTAATGAACCGGAAAATCAACTCTTAAAAGTGGAGCAGCCATTCTCATGCGTGTTGGGGAATAAAAATTTAAAAAATTCAGGAACTAAAGGATCAATTTCCAACTTACTATACTCACCATCAAATTGCTGAAGGGTATCCTCACTGTTCTTTGCCATATCTTCCTCTGCAGCCACCCGGGCAGAATGGATTTCCGTGTCATGTAATGCGTTGCTATCAGAAGCATTCCTGTATCGGGGTGATTGATATTAATCACAACGCATGAAACCGATAAATTAGTCGACTTCTATTGGGAAAACCGACACCAGAGCCGGGAACAGTATACGCAGAGAGTAGACCAAAAGGCGCAGAAGAAAAACCGTGTGTCTGCGTTAGCATAAATATTGTTTGGAACAGTTTTATTAGTAATGGGTAGTGCTTGCCGCGCATTGACTAGAGTTCACTTGTGAACGTCAGAGCCAACTGACCACACACCTGATAAGTGACTCCATTCTGGAAACGTGTTCGGTCCCCATCTCATTAACAGCCTTATGCGTCTTCTTTGTGTGTTCTCGCGCTGAATCAATCACGCCAAAACTACAAAAAGGATTTAAACAGATTTAAGCAAGAATGTCAATAACAATATCGAGAGATCGAGGAGGAAAAATTGACAGATACCTCTGCTGCAAGAGTTCCTCCATGCGACAATGCTTAACTGCAGAATAATCAGCAGTGTCATTGGCATCCTTTTCAGCTTGCGTGCAAAAGGCCTGCCATTTCCTTTTCGCATGAGTCATAATTTCTCCCACTGATGACACGTGTCCATCCAGGAATGACTTGCTCGCGATGCCACTTTCTCTAAGATCAACAAGCCTTGCATCTACCTACAAGTTCTCCCATAATTCCGTCATGTAAATTAATTGGGAGGTATAGGAATACACAACCTATAGAAAAGAAACACAACCAAAGAAACGCCGAAGACTAACCAGATCCATTTGCCGACGAATGTGATTAGACACTAAACCAGTCATATCAGCAATAAGCTTCTCTGCGTCAGATCTGGACTGCTCCTGTACACAATAAGATCGACAGTGACATGTCAGATATCAATACCAATAAACCATCTTCAAGAAAGTTTACCGCCATCACATTATTACCTCGTAAACTTTTTTAAACTCAGCGATGCTCTTTGTCTGCGTTTCATCGGCTTGTGATGCAAAATTTTCAAGCCTTTTAGATTCTTCCAAAAGCTTATCCACAAATTCTTGAGTGCACTCAGATATCTCCTTTGTTTGCTCAAAGCTATGGTTGAATCTCTTTTTAATTTGAAATCAGCAAGGCAGAACAAACACCAGCAGCAGAGAAAGAATCAAATCAGTAAAGACAGTATTATTTTTATTTAGAATGGGGGATATATAAAATAGCGAAACAAAAACCACAAAGACGCGACCAAGTATATAAAAATTATAAGGTAGGCTGGGGCGAAACTTAAACCACGCACATGTCGTAGATCCCTTGCAAGAGCTGCAAATTCCCCCTGCTGAGTTGTCAGAGAACTATGAAGATCATCAAATATAGAACCTGCTTGGGCGACCTCAGATGCGAGAAACTGATTCATTCAAAAAATTCAAAAGAAAAAAAAAAGAATTAGCGTCAAACAAAAACGAAAAATAAGCGCCATACACATAACGGAACTAAGCTTACTTCTTCAATAGAATGACAATTCGAGACACTAAGAGATGATATTTCATCCAAAGTAGCATCAGAGTTCGCCTTGTGCAAACGCACAACATTTTGCATTGCCTCGACATGAGATTTATGCAAAGCCCTTAAAGCAGCCACTTTCTTTCTAACATCAATTACCGCCTACAGGTGATGAAAGATCAATACGAGAATAGAAGACAATACGACATGCAAAATCATGAACCAGATTGAGAACTTTAGTTCACCCTTTTAACCGAATCATGCAGACTAAGGTGATCAGTTAAAATAAAATTAATTGATAAGTTTTTTTTCTCCCAAAAATAACATCTTTTCAAAACTATCCTCCTTAAATTTTATTGGAAAAATTAATTATATCATTTCATTTTACCATAAATTTAAAAACACTTTGAAATGTATTAAATATAATTATTTTGATAATGCATCATATATAATTATTTTGATAACGCATCATATATGATCCATTGCAACTTGAAATGGGTTATGACGGCGAGAGTATAATAACCTGAGAGAAATAAAAAGCTAGAAGATTTTTTTTTTTGGGGGGGGGGGGGGGGAGGAAGCTAGAGGAAATATTCAAGAAAAGGAATAGTGAGACGGGATAAAAGGCAAGAAAAAATGCAACCGAAATTTGTCTTACAAACCTTGTCGTGAATTCCTAAAAACGAATGGCACAGATTTTCCACGCATTGAAGGTGTTCATTCTGTCGAGCCAATGATGTTGTGACGGTATTACAAAGTGAACCAACTTGTTGGACAAGGTCCACATGAAAATTGTTCACCAGGGCTCTGTTGCTTGTGTTCAATTTGTCTTCTCTACCTGTTATGGACAACGGCAGATACGGATTTAAGCAGTTTAAAAAAAAATAAAAAAATCAAGCGGTGCATTAAAAAAATATGACCTACCAATTTTCAAAAACAATGAGGCGTTATCATGGAGGGCTTTCTCCAGATCAGCTCGCAATACGCATGCTTGATGAGCCAGAGCATTTTCTGCGGTACATAATTAACGTTAGCACAATTAAGAAGTAAGAAAAATGATGGAAACTTACAGTCATACATACCTGCTTTTCTCTGCTCAGAAATGATGAAATCCTTCTCTTTCAGAGTATAACGGCATTTATTTAGTTCTTCCTCGGTGTTGGCAAGCAATTTGCTAGTCTTGTTCAAACTTTTCTGCGTGGTTTTATGATTTTTGGATGAGAATGCGCGCAGGACTCTATAACTGTAAAGAATAAGCACCTGAATAACTCACCTCAGTGGAATCAAGTTTCTGGCTCAGATCAGAGCATTGGCGAACCTGATCAACGTACTTGTTTTGCAAATCCTCCAGTTGCTGGTGGAAGCATGCCAATAACGAAACAGGATAAGAATACAAAAATAAGATGGCCCATAACCATTTCTATAGCCAAAAGTATCGATGGGGAAAAACCTTCTGATGCGTTTCTAATGTGATCCCCATCTGCTCAATCTGATCTGACATAGCCTATCACAAGGAAAACACACGTCAGTGGAAGGACTCAACGGTAACCTTCTACGAATGATAATAAGAACAAGATAAATGTCTCAGTTGAAGTCCTATACACTAAGTACTAGTGCATATGAAGTAATAATAAGCATTCTAAAGAAATTAAATACCTGAAACTTTTCCCAATATTCACTACTTAAAATTACGTGAAGAGTACTATTCTTGGTGAACATAATGAGTAAATAGCAAAGCAACAACAGAGGAAGCAAGCAAAATAAACACGGGAAAAATTTTTAACCTTCTTTTCGCTCTCTTCTTGATAGTATCTTTCCTTCGGTATATAGACTCCATTTTTCTCCCGTGCAGCGTAAACCTCTGGTCAAAATCAAAATTTCCTCGATGATGCTCTTATGTCCCTTAAAGAACACGAGACTACTCTGAAGAGTCTAAATAGCTCTTTGACAAGCGCAACAGAACTCACCTGCCTTGAGGCGTTCGATTTCTCCGTAAAGGTCCTTGATAAGGGTGGATTTCATCATCTTTTGGTTAACCTAGAATAAACAGAAAGGAATAAGACGGAGAATCATTGAGAGAGGTACAATGAAAATTACCTCCAAGCTAAATTGAAACTGAAAATCTCATAAAAAATGCCTAAGTACACAACATACGTCATTAATAAAATCCACACAGCCGAACTTTCCCCTCTGAATCGCGAATAGAAACTAATCCGTAAGAAATATCTAGATTGCATATAGTAAACAGCTTGAATAGCGAATAGAAGCTTAACATTCCATTCGAATGATGCTTCATAACAAGGAAAGGCACGTACTCTCAGCTAATGAAAAATAATATTGAGCAATTCCTCGGTCACTTACAAAGTTAAAAGACACACATCCCGCTGGAACTAAATGAATACACATAACCAATTTTTGAAAGATTTTGTAAACATAAGCACATATTTCATAGGAATAATGGATCAAAATAGAAAGAGCGTCTCACTCTGCCTCGAAGACTCCATAAATGATTTGTACGGATGAATGGAGGATAAAAAAATAAAAAAATACAAACAATCAGAAGTCCTCCTGCGGTAACACACCTCGGGTTTATTTTTTATGTTCTTTGCCCTATGTGCATAATCCAGTGTGCTCAACGTTTCCTCTAAGCAATGAACAGCTGGAGAAACAGTGGCTATGATACAGGTCTTGGTTCTCCCGCCAAGTGAATCACGCAGTAAACGCGTCAGCTTGCTATCCCTGAGTTCCAATTTTGCTAGGTAAGCATGCTAGCCGAATATTAGACGCTTATTATAGGCGCGGACACATGCCAACTCAGAAAGACAAAAAGAAGGACTAAATCGTTTTCTACAATAAAAATGAATCAAACATTGCAGGAGAAAGAACCTGTAAGGAACATGGCCAAGGTGCTCCACAAGAGCACTAATCACCCGCCCTAAAGTAAGCAAACTTTTATTAATTTCTCCAGCTTCTCTTGCACGACCCTAACAATAGATAAGATAAAATCCCCCTTGTTAACCTTAATTTCCAAGACAACTTAAAAGTAAATATAAAATGGAACACATGTTCATTTGCGCATGCAATATACATGAAAAGTATTACCTCTCTAGCACCGGAACGAGAAATATTTTCTGAGCCGGCTAGATCCACTAAATTCAGCTTTCCACATTTTATTAGTTCTTCCCCTTCTGGGGTTGGTTCCTTTATGTGTATTGTTATCGAAAACAAGGAATGTGACCGACTGAAACAGGAGAATTAAATATCAATAAAAGATTGAACTTTGTTATCTGTCTAAGCCAGAAACAAAAGGCAACAGTTACCTTGATTGCTTGTTCAATAATGTTTCTGCAGTACGTCTTTTGGCAGAGCCCCTTTCCAAAAGAGTGAAGATCTCCGTAGCACTTGTCACAATTTCTTCCTCCAAACCTCTTACAAGAACTCCACCTTTACCATCTTCCATCAGAGGCAGCTGCTTTTTCTGCTTCTCCTCCAAAGCAACTTTGGAAATTTCATCAGGGGCAAGCAAATCAGTGATCTCCTCATTATACAATTCTAGAAAAGTGACCTTCACACTATATTCAGCATTTTGGCTCTCAAGGGTATCAAAAATCTGTTTGACAGCCCTAGGTATTACTCCTGCGTCTGGAGGCAACTCTCCATTCAGCCCACTCTGCAAAGTTGTTTGTAAACTTAGTAAGCATGAATTATGAGTAAGCAAGTGGCAATTCCATTAGCCTTTTGAGAACACACTAAATTATACCTTTGACCTTTTGCAATCGCCTTCCATTGTGTATGTTTTCCCCGTGCCAGTTTGACCATATGCAAATATGGTGCAATTAAACCCCTCAAGAACTTCATTTACTATCGGGATGATAGCCTGATCATAAAGATCTTTTTGCTTTGCAGAAGGACCAAAAACCTGCGAAATATGCTATGAATCATTTGGAATTCCTTACAGGCTCAAACAGGACACATTTATGATATTTATTCCTCAAAAGAAGTTAACCAAAGTGCATTTAGTTTATTCGAATTCTTCGTAAAACAATGCGTAGGTTAAAAATGCGTACACACTCTCAATCTCAAAGATGCCGAACCTGGCCATTCTCACAAGGAAAGGCGAATCGCTACAGAACTTGGCGAATGCTTGGTTTTCAGCCAAGCAATATTGTATTTCTCATCAAGGAAAAGTCTAGGCAAGATAAGCAATAAGCACTGTTTAAAAGCTAATCCAAAGTAAAAGCCTGCGCGTAAATACGAATTCAATAACATCGCCCGGTAGCACTCATTTTCAATATAATGAACTCGTTGGAGCTGAACCGCTTCACCTTTTGTCCATAAAAATTCCCCTGGATCCTACGGGAGAAACATCATTTGCTCTGATGTTCAACAAGAATGGCTCATTTAGCATTCTGCCTTCGTTTAACAGTATAGAACCGACATGACTGTGTCCCCAGAAAACAATCAAAAGTAGAGAAACCCAAGTGGGCTGCCTGGAGAAAGCTAGTTTTCACCTCAGTAAATGTAATGAGGAAGGTAATGATAAGTAAAAATTGGGTTGAAAGAAACACCTTATCGAATGTGAAAACTCTGTCTATATGTTTGCCGGCAATGTTCTGAGACACCGCAACTTCTCTGGTGTAATCATTGCAGGTGATAACCTGTGGTGCATTGTTCCGCAACTCTTCCTCGCTAAATGGCCTGGAATTTACATGAGAAACAGAAATGTCGTCCGATTAGTTGAAATGTCGAGGAGCTTGAAAATAAATGATCAAGGTTCATTGTATAATCAGACCGGAATACCTGCAACGGAGGAGAACCTGAACATTGACGCCCTTCTCTCTGTCTCCGCGAGAGGACATTGTGGATCCTAGAGAGCAAGAATCACCACAGAACTTCACTCTTTCGTTAGCAGATCGGGTTCTGAATTTCGTTTGTCTCTCTCTTCCCGCCTCTGCGTGAATCGGTGGGAGAGCGGGTGGGTTTGAGATTTGAAATTTTGAGAGCCGCTCTCGCCTTTTATCTGGCATCTACGGCTCAGATGGTGGACTCCCGATCTGACGGTATTATATGAAACTGTTCAAATGGGGTGCACCGGTGAGACCATTTTACCCCTAAATTTCGAATGACCTTTGCGAATTGTCCTTTGGTATCAGCTTCGAACAGATGTATTAAATTATTCACCGGGAAAAGAACAATACAACGTTAAAGTGAGCACGGGGCACGGCGCACTCAATTGGGCTTTTGGGTAATTCGATTGGGCTCTTTAATTTAGTGAAATTGCATTGGGCTTATAGCCCAGCCCATTAGGTATCCATAATCAATCCAGCTTCGTCTCCTTCATCCTTGGGCGAAACTATCCCAAACTCCTGCGTGCTGTCGTTCAGGGGGGAAAATAAACAGTTTTACCGATTGATCTCGGGGATTTTATGCTTCTTCCATCTGCTGACTGTATAAATATATGTATATTTTCATTTGTACATTTATTTGTATAACATACGCATGTTAGATAGTCTGCGGACCTTGAGCGGATTTGTATAGAATCATTACCTCTCAGTTGAGATATTTTAATCGTATAGAATCCTATTAAAAATCGAAGGCATCAGTATATGAATATATTACTGCATAGATGTATAGAATCTTACATTATTCACATGTCAAGGCATAAGAAAAGACTTATAATTGATTTAACCAGCATGAAAGTAATTTCGGAGAGTTTTTAAACGTAATTAATTTTAGGTGCTCTTCTTTCTTTCTTTTTTTTTTTAAGTAGCTAGTATGCGAGAAACGCCCCCCCGGGGGGGAGATCAATTACTTGTGGCCAGATTTCAAGCGCAAGGATTCGCACCAACATTATCTATTCCTCTTTGTCACTTTCTGGGGCCTCTAGATACTGGCTCCGTTTAGATCAGCAATTGAATAAGCTGTTTATTAAAAAAGTAGCTTATGGATAAGTGAAGTTGGGTAAAAACTAAATTGGATAAGCTGAATGTGTTTGGATTAGAGTTCAGATAAGCTAGTTTGCAAAAGTAAAATTGGTAAAAAGTTGTTTGAATTATGATTGAGTAAAAGTAAGTTTGGTTGTAAAATGACCAAAATGAGTATGAGTTATAATAAAGAATGAAAAATAATAAAAAAATTGATTTCACATAATACAATGAATTTAAGTTAAATCAATATGAAGAAGTGAATTAAATTTTAAAATTTAAGAGAAATCATAAAAAAAAATTTAAATACAAAGTGGAAGATGAAAAAAATGAATTGAGATAATATAACAAAAAAGCGAGGAGAGAGAGCTGAGGCGGAAGAAAAAAAATGAGGCGAAGAAAAATGAGAGATTCCCAGCTACTGAAGTAAAATAACCCCCCCACACTTTCCAACGGTAAAAAAATAAGCTCTTAAAGTGAGGAGATAAGCCACAAAATTCTGCTTAAGCCTGACCGCCCGTTTTGTAGCTTAAAATGTATAAGCTGCTTTTTTTTTTAAGCTCAGCCAAACACAGCATCTTCAGCCAACCGGGGTTATGAGTAAAATAAACTGCTTTTAAATCCAAATAAGCCTTGCCAAACGGACCCACTGTAGGATATACTGATATTGGCTTATAGCCTCCTACTGCGCCAGATATACCAATGAGGACGTCCAGAAAAAAGACTAGTAAAAAAAAAAAAAGGGATTTACCATTAGATCAAATGCAAATAATCACGTAAAATCATTATTGCATATCGATTACTCTTAACGAACCGATGAATATTAATTTGAAATACAGATTGTTGGTGCATAAGCTGAAAGACATCGATCAAATATACAAGAAAAAAAAAGTCAATTATTAATTTATTATGATCGATAAACACGCACATATTGTGCTCATGTATTTAAAGTTTATTTAGAATAAACCATACTGCTACTATAGTGATTCGTAATTTATGAACAGCGTTGAGTTTATATATTTTATACCGCATATATAAACACATCTGATCTTCTGAGGGGACGCTGAAATTGGAAAGATTTTCTGCCCGTTATCCCCTTATCCTTTTTCAAGTCTGGACGAAAGAGAAAGCGCCACGAATCATGGGCAAAAATACACACAAATTGGCAATATGCAAACAACACGTGAGTCCCTAAGGGGAAAAGCATAAGCGATTCCATCTACAGTCATCATCTCATCTTTGAAAACGAAAGATTTCATCTTGACTCCGCTGCATGCACGTTGAACATTATTGATATAATTCAAGAGATTTAAATTTTACAGCTTTTATATACTTTCATGTACCTACGAAATTCACAACATCTATTTAAAAATCCTAAATACTCTCTGTGATTCATTTTATAAATTATCTGTATCTAATTTATATATACAAATAAAAACAGTTAAAAGCGCCAACTTGACATTAAATTAGATTTTTAATATTATTTTTACTAACTACACTAAATTTAACATCATATTAGTTTTTATTCTCTCATTACCATTATCAAATATAAGAATATACGACAAAAAATATCTAACGCCCCTTGAAAATAAGCAAACGCCTCCTAATGCAATTAATTGTTTTAATCATCATTTATAAAATATTATGTTTATTTTATTTTGATTTAAGAGGCAGCCTACAATATCTGTCGCTCTTCGAGCTGGTCACTTTCCCCGACTTCTTGCGCCAGAACAGCACAAACATGTATTAGAAAAATCAGCAATGGGCTCCATGGGTCTCACTCAGTCGTAGCTATCGATAGCGGCTTCAATCTTATTGATTTCCTTATCGTTATCTCCCACTCTACTTTTTTTGTTTGTTTGTTTGATGTCCGGGGCCTGAATGCTGCATCTGTTCCTTCTAGTCTACAACACGAGTGAAGAGTGCCGCCCTCCTCCCGCCTTCGATGCCTGAATCAGCCGCTCGATCCGTCGGCGGCACCGAGTACAGCTGGTGCAGGTCCGTCCCGTCGGGCACTGGGATTACCGTTCTCGGTCTCCTCCTCTCCAAATCCCCTGATGTTTCACTCCTTCAAACTGCACTCCGCAGTCTTCAAAATTCCCATCCGATCCTTCGCTCAAGGCTTCGTCTGGACGCCTCCACCAACACCTTTCACTTCATCACTCCTCGCGATCCTCACATCCAAATTACACCCTTTGATCTGCAATACACGTCTCGCATCATCGGGAGTGAATCAAACGATCGGCCCAGCAGCCCCTTCCTTCGGATCCTCGAGTACGAGCTGAATCGGAACTCGTGGCGTGATCATAGCGGCTCAATGTCCGCCGACACTGACGTCTTCCATGCGAGCCTCTACACAGTAAGCGATCAACAATGGGCCGTATTTCTCCGGCTGCACACGTCAGCATGCGACCGTACGGCAGCGGTGGCGCTGCTGAAGGAACTGCCGGAGCGAGTGGGTGGAAGAGTGAAAGAAGGGAAAGGGACGGAGATGGAATTAGAGAGAAAAGGAAAGGTCAGGTTGGCAATTGAGGATCTCATTCCGGAGGGGAAGGCGAACAAGCCTTTTTGGACGCGTGGATTGGACGTGCTTGGATATTCCTTGAACTCTTTCAGGTTCTCGAATTTGAATTTCGTGGATGCTCATTCCCCGAGAAGCTCTAAGGTGGCGAAAATGCAGTTGGACAGGGACGAGACAGAGAGGCTAATTGTCGTGAGTTACTATCTCTTATTCCACTTGATAACTCCGGCTACGTTAATTAATAATGGCTTTATCCATAAATCCTATCAAGAACCAGGAAATTGTCCTCGAATATTATTTTTTTATTGCGGAATCAAGTCTCTCGTTTATATCTTAGAAAATGTTTCTTGAAGATGAGAGGGATGTGGATAACTCCATTCTGTTTTGACTCGCAAAGGACTGTGGGGGTGCAAAAATCACATCACATGTCGAAGTAATTTGACTAGGAATGAAAAATTGGCCGACAAAATTTTTGCTGTCAGAACTAAATCAATTTGATGTTACAGTAATGAAGAATTACTTTGTGAAAGAAAACTCAGTAGCGTGATGAAGCTGCTGTGGTCTAATAATTTTTTTCCTTAATACATGTCATACAAAAGTACGATTTCTTTTAGTGTGATCAGGTCTCTCTGTCCAACAATAGGGAGCCAAAAAAAGTGACCTAGTTTCATAGCAATGTGGCAGTCATTTTGACAAGTACCAAATGCCCCATAATCTGTATATTTCTGAGTTCTATTATCTCCGACGTGATATATTACAGCTGCTTTTTGCGTGTGGTTTGGTAATGTAATTATTCAGTTTAATTATGAAATATGATGTAGGGATGCAAATCAAGAGGAATCAAGCTTTGTGGGGCACTTGCGGCAGCTGCAATGATTGCCTCATGGGCATCTAAGCAGCGTCCTGATTTTGAGAAAGAGAAATATGCTGTAGTAACTCTCACTGATTGCCGCTCAATTCTAGATCCAATCCTTAACGGCAATGACCTCGGTAAGGCACACAAATTAGTTAGCACACTTTTTTCTTTGGTTCACTATGCTTCTGTTACTGGTACATCACGCCGCCCTGGTTCACAAAATCTGAAAATGCAGTTTCTGAGCCTTTTCTTATGTCATTTTGAAGTAACTTATTGAGCGCTAATTCTTTTGTCCTGTCCTCTGAGTCCTGAGCAAAACTGTCATTAGGGATTTGTGATACTTATCGAATACCATGTGACTATACTCCCAATTTTCAGGCATCGATCTTTGCGCTAAGAGCTTAGATTTATAGAGCAATATGGTTCACATGCAGCTTTCTAACAAATCGCTTATTTGGTTCAGGATTCTACCATTCTGCCATTTTAAACACACATGATGTGGGCGGAGAAACTCTATGGGAGCTGGCAAGAAGAAGTTACATGGCCTTTGAGAATGCTAAGAACTGCAACAAGCATTTCACAGACATGTCTGACCTCAACTACCTCATGTGCAAAGCCATTGACAGCCCAGGTTTGACACCGTCATCGTCATTGAGAACGGCCCTAGTTTCAGTGTTTGAAGACCCTGTCATCCAGGATTCGGAGTCAGATAAAATGCATCAAGAGGTTGGATTGGAAGACTATGAGGGTTGCTCCTCCGTCCATGGCGTGGGGCCATCCATAGCCATATTTGACACCATACGGAATGGAATGCTGAATTGCACATGTGTATATCCGTCACCCCTTCACTCTAGGGAGCAGGTACTGAAACTACTTGATCATATGAAGAAAATCCTAGTGGATGCTGGTCACATTAATTGAAGATCGGTAAACTGAACTGTCATGGCTATTATGCACCGACCAATTCATTGCTTAGCTTTGCCTTGTGATTCAATGAAGTTGCCAATTCCTGCATGATATATCGAGAGCAAATATTGTCACGCCGGGAAAATGAGAACAGCTCAGTCAAAGATGCCAGGGTATTAGAAACATGAACTACCGTTTATTGAGACCAAAGATGCGGTCTCAATTCTTATATAATCACTAAAAATGGGTATTTTTCATGTGTTTATTTTCATCTCAAACTTCAACAAACCGTGTAGCTGAATTAATTTATGTCAGTCTACCCGTAAATCTTCCAAGACAAGCACAAGGTTCAAGAAAACCTCCCCGATGTAAACTGATCGCCTGTTTAAACCTTTTTTGACATCGTGAAGATTAGCGCGCAGTGTTATCCTAGATTAAAATCTGTTATGTTGAAGGGCGGAAGCATAAGCGGGTCAATGTTCTTTTGTTGGGCCAAAGGTCTATGTTTTTATTTGGATACGAGAGAATTTGGCAAGTGATTCTTCATGTTACTTGTAGACTCGGAGAAAAGTCTATGTTCGTTCGTGTTGGTTCCGTGCATGCATTTAATTAGCCAGCATAATTTCGGGGAGGCTTACTCAGGGGACCCCCCACGTTACATTTCCAATTTCTCGCGCTTTCAAGACATTAAAAAAATTGCCGAACTCACTGAATTAAGCGGGAAGAGCTTGATTAGTATAGTATGGCAAGTTCCCTAAACAAATGTCCAAATGATAAGTGAGCAGTATTTCGGAATAAGAGATCGCGAACACGGCCATTTGATTAGATTAATAAGGTCATTGTAACAATTGAGAAGGAAGGGAACGTGTTTGCAGAAGTTCACAAACCAAAATTCAAAGTTCGAACATACCAGGAACTAGTTACATGTCAGATCATTCCTACTTGAAAACTGTCTGTATCAACAGCTTCCAGGGAACTTCTAGCTATAGGTCATGCTTTATACGACCGTGTACATCTCTTACTTCTAGATATGCTGCAGAGCTTACATGTAGCCCTGCGAATATCAAAAGATAATATCTGTAGTTCTGATTCCCGGAAAAAAAGAAAGAGCTTTTGGTCACTGCAATTCAAGGAAACTCATCAAAAATTTTGGCCAGATCAAACCTCCCATTGCTGCATTCTATTGCATTCAACACCTGCCGAAACGTTGAAACACTGCACGGAACAACCAGGCCGTTCTTCTGATCAAACCCGTATTCGTCGTATGCCTTGTCCAGCAACATCTTGAACAGTGGATGAGAGAGATAGCTGGTTGGAACGACATGTCGTTTGCGCTCCTCCCCCACGTAGAGTGCAAAAAAGCCAGTCGGGGTTCTGTTATTTGCGGTTTCGTCCTCCTGTCCTCTGAGCAAATACTCATGGTAGACAGGATCTGGGTCAACCCCACCAACAGCCTTCACCTTTTTGGCCAATTTCTTAAACGATATCATCTGCTTCCCTAGCAAGGCACGCTGGGGGAAGAAGAAGCAGAGAAAATACAGAAGATTATTGTACGTACGCTGGCTATGTGTAAAGGAGGATTTAGTTTTTTATATATCATGTGAAGTGGGATGGATCGTAACCAAAGCATTGGGGTTGAAATTTTGAAGGTGTCACGTCTTGACTTTTGAAACTCTGGGAATCTATGACTGACATGTGAAGATTTTTAAGCGTATTAACAGAACATTCCTTTTCTTTAAGGTATAAAATACTAATAGGGTGTGAAGTGGTTGTTGGGTGAGTTTGACTAAGGAATAGTTAAAAGGACAGAAGATATTATCTCACATGGTAAAACCAAAAGAATAGCCATTAGTAGTGGGTGGCACGCCAAGGTGCCAACACCTTCGAGCAGTACAAATGGTGAAGAGTTGGCGAGTTTCACTTCGTACTCCACATTTGTCGGCTGGAAGCAATTCTGCACCCAAGGGAATGAGTCAAACCAACGATGCGCATCCCGTGGCGTACCAGAATCGCCTAAAAACCAATCAAATATAAATAATAATAAAGTTAAGAAGAAACTGTTTTATTTAGTGTTTGTTTGACCAGAAAATAAATGATTATCACTTAGTTATGTGGCATAGGTAAAAACTCAAAGCTTTGACATTGTTATATGTTTGATGAAAGGTCTCCTGTCCACTAAAAGTGATCGTACTGCAGTGCCCTGCACGTACATGCTACTAACTTTGTCTTTAAATATAAGGTAATCTTAAATATAAGTCTCAAATTCATTTTGTTTTCTATATTTTGCTATCTTTTTTTTCTTTCAAAATGGTCATTATGAGAGCTGCACATGTTAAATATTATATCAAATACTCATCCGGTCCTTAATATAGGACCAAATTGTTAAGTTGGTTTTGGTCCTAAATATAAGACCCATTTATCATATTTTTTAATTTTCTCTAAATTACCTCTATAGATACTCTCTCAACCATAATCAAGTAGAAGAGGAAGAGAGAGTATTAAGAAAGATGATTATGGTATTTTAGGAAAAACGTGTCACATTTCTTATAATTAACTAACTTACCTAACTTCCTTAATCTAATCAAATTAGTTAAATGGGTCTTATATTAAATACGGAGGAGTAGTATTTTTAGCTAATGTATATGATTAGTAAATATATTTTAAGGAAAACAATACTTATTTATTGCAAGTAGCTAATTTAACAAACTTTCTTAACCTACTCAAATTTGCCAATTAACTCTTATATTAAGTACCATGCTAGTATATTATAACTAGCTAAGTTCTCAATAATGAAAGGTTCGACCCATTTTTCGATTCATAATATTTTTTCTTTAAATATATTACTATATCTAGTCCTTAATATCAGCGTTAATTGACTAATTTGAGTAGATTAAGAAAATTTATTAAATTAATTATTTGTAATAGATATATATTATTTTGTCCAAAATATTCCTACTAATCAAGTGTATTGACTCTTGCTAATCAAGTATATCGGTTCGAACTACCATTATTATAAGTACTATCATAAAATAGATAAATATGAAAAATAAAATGTATTGATATCTTATATTTAAAATCAAAATCAAAATTTAAAAAAATTTTATATTAAAAACTGGAGGTAATATTAACTAAAGTTGTTTTTGTAATTAAGAAACTCGGAAAATCAATAACATCCACGGGACACGTAACTGATGAATGCCTCACGCTCAAGATTCGACACATCACGGGTCCGGGGAGCCACACAAAGGACGAAACGCTGGTTAACGGTGTTCATGTCTACGTACTGTACTCATATATTCTAAGCAAGATTTTGAATTTAAAATGTATGAGAAGACGTACCAAGCAAAATTTAAGCGAGTTATACAAGAGCTTGGTGAGAACTGAGACTAGGGCAAAATTTACGGTTGGAGAAGCATTTATAATATATTTATATATATCACTCATCAATACGGCTTTTATATTGCCAGGATATTTCAAATTCATCGCAGCCCCTCTGACTCATGATTGATGTTCTTAGTGACTGGGGACTGATTAACTTTTTGCCAGCATGTTTTCCCTTCTCTCCTACTTAGGTTGGAGGTGTTTTGTGAGTTATAAATTTTTAACTTCAAATTAATATTAAAAATCTCAAATAGTTTTCTTGAAATTCCTGGTTAAAAAAAAAATAGTTTCCCTGCAATTGAGCATCTCCTATTGCATACTCTATACTTTCTCTTTTGTATCCTTGTTCTTCAGGCCTTTGGATTGGCCTTTTTTTTTTTGGACCCATTACACATACACACATGCATGTTGTAACGTCTTGAGTCTTGGTAACTCTTTTTGGTTGATTTTAAGGATATATAGTTTAGTGATTAAACTTGAATCTTGATGTCTGATTAGGGATTAAGTGAATTAGAGGAGTGGGTGAACAAATCCCTCTCAGGATTTGTTCCAAGGGAAGTGCCATTTCAGGAAGGTTTAGCCGCGGTGAAGTCAAAGGGACGTCGCGGCGAAGTTGTTCAGATGAGTGGAGTTTCCCTCTTGGGAAGGCCTCACTGCGGTGAAGTTGGGGGCACGTCGCGATGAAGGTTATCTGGGTGAGCGAGAGTTTCCTCTCGGGAAACTTTCACCGCGGCAAAGTAGGGTTTTCTGGCGAACAAATCCCTCTTGGGATTAGTTCACCGCAACGAAGTTCTGAGTTCGCCGCAATGAAGTGCTCAAATCTATAAATACGATGGAGGTGTTCAGTTGTATGAAAATTGAAAATTTGAAGGAGAAAAGTGGTACTCTGCTAGAGTTTTGGTGTTTTGGCTTGGAGAAGGTGTTTCTAGGGGTCCTTTAACTCAAATAAGTGAATCTAACCTTTAATCTACTCCTTCTCTTAGGATTTTTGAGGATTTTATGAGGGAACCCTAGGGCTTTCTAGTTTCTAATGGAATTGAGATTTTTGACTGATTGTTTTGAGTTTAAATGATTGCTATGGATTAGTTTAAGTGCTTAATCGGTGTAGTTTTCTTGGATTTAGAGATTTTGAAGTTTTGGGAATTTAGGGTTTGAAAAATAGAGATTCATGATTGAGGATGACAATGTAGTGGTTGACAATGTAGTGGTTGAAATTGAGTTTTGTGAATTGGGTTATGCTAATGAGGGTTAAATTGGATGCTTAATTGGTTTAGAATGTTGTTATGGCTTCAATTATTCTAATTGGATGTTTGGGTGTTGAATTCCTATAGTGGGTTTTTGAGGTTATGAATTCGACTGATGTTTGGAAGGGGAACTAGAATGATAATGATCTCTTGTGGTTTTTGGGAGTGTTGCCTTGATGGTTATACATTTTTGAGTTGGGTAGAGTTTTGATTGAGGTTGGGAATTTTGAGTTCCCAAATGTTGCTTTAGTCATATTATTAGTTTGAAAGCTAATGCATGGTGGTTATGTGTTTGTGTACTTGTGTAGACTGGTTGTGAGTCTTATTTGTGCACGAGGCATTGTTGGTGGTTTGTTATTCCTTGCTCAGGCGAGAGGTAACCACTTTCCAATCCTTTGTATATGCTATTATGGTACTGTGAGTAGATTTATGTTTTCATGCTCCGAGTAATATATGGTGTTCTAAAGTATTTTGTATATTAAAAGAGAAATTTGTCTTGTGGGGTTTTGTATAATACTGAATGCATTGGGAATTTCTGAAAGATATGCCACTAATTGAAGTTACTTGTGAAATGGTGTATTTACTCTTTGGTAGAGATGTTTGAGCGTGATGCATGTGTTGGGATTTGGTGAGAGACTTGATTGTTACTACCACGTCGTAAGGCTTCTATTAACACGTGATAGTTGGTTCTTTACGTCTCCTATAGTGAAGGATAGGCCTTTTGCTCCTTAGGTCCTCCATAGTAAGGGATAGACCGGGTTTGGCTCTTGAAAATCCTCCAAAGTGAGGGATTTAGTAATGGTTTGGATCGTTACACTTGCATGATTTGTTATGGATATCGTTTATATTATTACTTATTAATTGCCCTACGCGACACCTCACGAGCACCTGTTAGTTTGTACTCTGAATTAGAAATGTTGGTTATTGGGGCTTTTGTCTCACCTAGTGGTTTATAATGTTTTCAGGTGAAAGTTCTAGGCGTGCGCCTCCAAAGAGGGACACCAAGGCTTGAGCTACTTTTAGCAGTAATACCTCTGGCTTGTGTAAATGTATTGATAGTTGTATATTGTCATGCGTAGGGTCATTCTGAAGATATTTTGGTTGACATAGCACATTTGTAAGCTAGAGATGTTGACTCTCTATCTTGTTGGCCAGAGACTGTTCTTGTTATTGTACAAAATTCTAAATCTATGTCTATGTGGATAGTTGGATGAGCTTTTGTGCGATTTTTTATTTATCCGAGCCTGAGGCTTGGAGGCCCAATAGAATGAATTGATTGAATGAATGAATGAGAGATCTTTGGTTGCATGTAACTTGCTTGGGTTTCTGTCCACATTTTAATTGTCAGTATTAAAAGGTTTACTTGTTTTTTTCTACTATCATAACAAGCATAATAGTATTTCTTTTTTACCATAGTAGTGGGTTATATGCTAAGCTCTTTATGTTTTGAGGAAAGGAGTTGTTACACATGTTTAAAACTAAACGTGGAATGCGTGCGATTATGTCCAAAAAAATTAGCGGCGTTACTTGTTGATTTATGATTCATAAACATTGTGGCTTTTTAATGGATTATGCATGCTGATATCGAGATATTGATAGTACTATCCCGTTATGTGCTCTAATTTTCATGTTGAGTGCGGGTTTGCACCCCATTAAAGCCATAATACTGACGGACAACCCTTCTTGGGAAAATCTTATAATTCTCAATGGCAAGATCAATGAGTGATTCTGGACTAGAATGCTAGGGATTAAATTAATGCCCGTCACGAAATTTCCTCAGCTTTGCTTATAAAATAATTCCAGAATTAACTGCATCTACCCTACATTACCAAGCTTTCATCCCGGAAAAAGAAAAGCGATGAGTTCTAGATGCATCCCTGAATTTTGTGCTCAGAGCTAACTTTGCGTAAGCTTGTGTGTTACGTTAAAATAAGACAAAACGAAAAATTTGTATATTATCTTTGTTATATATTTAATTAGTAGCCGTTCAACGTCCTGGGTGTTTGGTCTAGTGGTATGATTCTCGCTTCGGGTGCGAGAGGTCGCGAGTTCGATTCTCGCAACACCCCGCGTAAGCCTTTTCCTGACGACGTGTCGTATTTTTGGGGCCTTTCCCAATTACGCAGCAGTGCAGTGCGTTGGCCTCCATATTAGGGTTTCGGCGCGAGGGTTTTTAAATTTTCAGTCCCCAATCCTTCTCCGTCTCCACGGTCCTCCCTCGCTGAAGACTTAACACCACCATGAGCAGGTCAGGCCAACCACCGGATCTGAAGAAGTAAGTACTGCTTTCATAGAGTTGTACCTCAATTTGTTCATCATATTTGCATTCTATTCATAGTTCTCATTTATCGGAGCAGTGTTAATCTTTTCTTATTATTTTCTCTGTGGGATTCGACAGGTATATGGACAAGAAGCTCCAAAGTAAGTTTGTTTTTGTGTTATTCGAATTCTCTATTTTCTTAGGAGTTTTTGCTGAACTTACTTGGGGCAACTGAAGTATTCAGTATTCTGGAGTTGATTTTGTCTTGGTAGTTTTTGCAATCCATCGTTCTAATGTTGTTCGCATAAATTCAAAGTTCGTTTGAGGGCTAGCCGAATGCCCTAGATTTTCACCTGGGATTCATTGGTATCATCACAAAGTGTATATTTCATTTTGGTCCTTTGGAACTAACAGAACCTCCGCAGTTCAATCATTCAAACTGTTTGAAGATAATGTAAAATAAACAGCAGAGGGGTTGATTACTTTGGCCTAGATGAGAGGAAAGACTGGAGATTAATAGTGGATCTTGAAATATCTGTAGAATCGTGTGAAACAGTCTATCCACGGCTTCTGTCTCAGTTTGAAGCCTGTTTCATATTGATATGTTGTGATCATGTTCTTGTTACTTCCTTCCCCCTTTCTATGTTCATTTGATTGTGGTGAGGATAAATTATTAACTTCCTATAAGACTCGGAGGCGGGCATTTGGAGGTCCTCGGGATCAGATGACCATCATCTGCACCAGAGATGGGTGCCTTGGCCTGCCTTGGAGCGGGTGAGGTGTTGGGCTAGCATTTGTCCTGCCTCTGCCTCCATTCCTACTGCAGCAGCTATGCTATCTTAAACATTTATGCTGTGAACCTGTCAAGTAGTTTGCATTGCTTATATTGTCTTGATTTCACAAGGTTCTTTGCATTCTGATATCTTAGGAGCACCCCCCCCCCCCAAAAAAAAAAAGTTGAAATTCTATTTGTGTAAAGACTTGGTGTCACAGCTGCATCTGTCGGCTTGCATCCCCCCTTCCATTTCAGTATTTGCTGCTTATTATCCATGACTTTTGTTTTGAAGCATGCATGTGTTTATATGGTTAAACCGTTTTGAAATCGCCTTGTCAAATTTATGCATATTGTGTTTCAATGTAGTTAAGCTGAATGCCAATCGGATGATCATTGGCACACTTCGGGGATTTGACCAGTTCATGAACCTAGTTGTTGACAATACTGTGGAGGTGAATGGCAACGAGAAAACTGACATAGGGATGGTGGTATGTTCTTATTCTTTCTATTATCTGCTTTACAATCAGTAGTAAAGATCTTACCGCCTCTAGCATGCATATCCCATCAATCTTAAGTTTATTTTTCCCTACTGCTGCAGGTTATCCGAGGAAATAGTGTAGTCACTGTCGAGGCACTTGAACCTGTTAACAGGACTCAGTGACTTCTAGACTCTAGTTCACATTTGTTATGTTTGAATTGGTGTGTATTTGAATAGATATGGTTGAGATACGCTAATACTGGAATGATGGCGATTTTGTATGCGAATCAAAGTTCTCAGCTCGGAATACCTTTAGATCGACCTAACTCAATGATGTTTATATATCACTTTTGGCTGGACTTGAATTTTAATGTATTCCATTTTTGTGCGCGCGAGACGTGCATATAACACACACACACACACACACACGTGTTGCCAGCTTATTTATTATGGTAAAACGCACGTTATTGTGTGTCGTCCTCTTGGGATTGAAAGCGTTGGAAGTGGAGGGGCAGCGTCCGAGGTCTGCATTTCTCCCGCTTCCGGCTCAATCCCAAGGTCTACTTTCCAAGCTTCCCTTTGTACGCTAGAACACATCTGTTCCAAGCTGTCTCTCGGTTATGGGTTCTAAGCCATACCAGTTCTCCTCTTCCCCCCTCCTCGCTATCTGATCATCCTTGTGCCGCTCCCCCAAAATTTGCTCTTCCGTCTCGTATTTTCGTTGTAACCCGTTCAGTGCATGGATGGCTATGGTGAGGCTATCCCCGCCTATCTGTGGTTCTTAGTGAGCACACTGCCCTTTTCTGATGCTTCTTGTTCTTGCCATTGTTGAATGATTGAAACTGTAAATTGGGGGGACGTGATGCCCTCTCGCAAAATCAGGGCAGCAAAGCAGACGTCAGAGGGAAGAAGGCTAAAGTAAACGTCATAGCAAAGTGGTGAAGACTTTACAAGAGACTTTAACTAACGGAAATAGCTCTATTATGTACTATTCTGTCTCTTATTATCTCTTATTGTAAGATCTTTTTAATTAAATTGTGCAGTTTAAGAAAACAGTTAAAATTAGTTAAAAACAATTAATATATAGTAAATATAATTTTTTTTTTCAAATATACTCGTATATAAATGAGTAGATGTGAGAAAGTAATAGTGAGATAAATGAAGAAAGAGAATATATTAAATGTATTAAATTAGGGGTAAAATGGATAATAATACATTAAATGTTCAGACAAATTAAAAAAAGATCTTACAAAAAGAAACAAATTTATTTAAAAAAAGGAACGGATGGAGTATTGGAGAAGAATGATTATCATAGAATCTGGAACAGAAAATCAGGTGCTTGTTTAAAGCTTCCTGAAGCTGGAACCATTCCTAGTGCTTAATGTTGCAAGAGACTCGCGTACAACCAGCAAAATTCAAGGACATTCTTGCATCCAGTTCCAAACTGAAGCATGAATAAAAAAAATAATTCCCAGAGACCGCAACGGTATAATTCTTCCCTTAAAGTTGGGTTTTCACGGTTTTACAAACTCTCCATTAGGCCCAAAAAAATAGAAGTGTGGTATAAAGGCTCCTCCTAGCCATTAGGCACAGTCCCTTTTAAATGTCGTTGTTCTTCGTGTCTTGCGACTTAACGCAACGGGCGAGATCCAGGGTGTCGTTACTCGTTCGATGCAGCATCCTGCTGCCTCCAGCTCTTGGCCCTAAAGGCTCCTGTAAAGTAACACCAAGTATCTTCCTTTATCATTGTATCCGTTAAGGGAGGAAAAAAGGTTATTCCTCCCTCTAACCCCTAATATGCTCCCTCATCAAAATTGTATTAGGCTTTGCCTTTACTTCAACGTTTCATATACTTCAGTTAAGGCACGTGCCTCCCTTTTCCTCTACTTCATTTTCTCTTCCTCTTTCCATCCCAATTGCTGTTTTCATTTTATGAGACTAGCGTGTGTTTGGTGAGACTCATGCCTGCAGATTAACATATCCCAATACCACTATGTCCCAGTGACAGCCACGATTCTACTTGCTTAAGTAACATTACTTGCTTGTCCTATCCGATATATATATATTTTTTAGACGTTTGTATGATTATAAATAGCGCAATAGTGGCCATTGCAAGAAACGTAATTATGGCAAAGGCAACAGGGTTTTGTGTTAGGTATATGCTGCCTTTTATGAATAGCCACCCACACGACAGCACCACTTACGTCTCCAGATGCAAATGAATTAAGAATTTACCAGGAAAAAGCAATCAAAGTTTACAGAAGACACAAGCAATTAAAGTTCAAATGATTTGGAATTGGAGTACATCATCTTTTCATTTGATAGCGTAGTTGATGCCTGCAGAAGATAGAAACTTGCTGTAAATTATACTCGACATGATTAACGGAGAATGGGGCCAAGCAGCCAAAAATAGAAAAGCTATTATGAAGATGATACCCCTCCCCCCAACTACGAAAACTTCATTTTCCGATGTTACAATACCCATATGAAATGCCTATGATGAACATTCTTATCTTTTTCTTTCTGTTTTCTCGCTAAGGGACCCAAACAATGAAACAACACTGATAGCGAAGTTTAAGGACATATGGAGACAGCATGATAGAATTGGTGGACCACAGTAATCACAGTAACATTGCATGATTGGAGTTACTTGTTTAATAAGACAAAACTTAGGAGTGTAGGGCTTGGTCAGGGGCTCTTAAATGAGTACACTCAAATGGCCACACAAATTTATGTGCAAAGATGTAATTAAGACGAAAAGATTAAAAAATGGGACAAATTCACCCAAAGAAGCAACAAATAAAGTGGGTGCTTGGTGCTCTTTGTAGCGTGTCAAGATCATTCATTGATTAGCTTAGATTTCGGATATAGATAGCTCTTATGTTAATTGCAAGTGATTCTTCTTTAAATGGACGCTATTCTTTATTTAAAATGTAAACTTAAATCTAAATAATAATTAAAAAAAGCATGCGTCTGATTAAGGTTGGATGGGTAACGTAGAAAACATAACTTGCCAACTCTATAATACTGTACCACCGGGTTAGAAATTTTTACCGTGCTAATAATGTGTCTAATGAACTTTGTTAAGAAAATAGAGTGCTTTTTTCTTGGGGTGAAGCCCACTTTGACCTTTGTAAATTTCCGCCCCCACTCGATTTTATTTTGTTATTTTTTTTGTAACATGGGGAAAAAAAGCGTCACTTGCCAACTCCAATCCATATGATAATACTGTGCAGAGATATCATTAAACCATCCAGACGAGTCCCGCTCCGTCATTATTCTTTTCCTTTTTCTTCTTACTCCACCATCTCTGTCTAACCACCTCTCTTTCTCTCACTCGTTATACAATCTTCTGATCCTTTTTCCCACGCGAGAATCTGGACCCATCCCTTCTTTTTGTCCCTCCATAACCTAAAGCCAGCCTGAGGAAGGTACAGTGATGATGAAATCGTCTCACCTTCCAAAACCCTTTCTTCAATCAAACTCCACTCCACCATATTCATACCAAAATCTTGGCTTTTCGCGCACAATAGAATAAACAAAGACTAGGCCTAACCGCCTAAGCGCTCCAATATGACTGAAATACTCCAATCGCCATCGCACTTACCTTCAACCTCAAGCTCTTCCAGTCCATGTGGGCGAATCACACCCAATGATGGGTCTCATTCGAGTCCCCTTATTAACAGTCCCACAGTAGATGAAAGGGTCCAGGTCCAGTTGGGTACAGAGGAGGTCGAAGAGGAGGAAGGCCAAGTACGAGACAGGAAAAGGAAAGAAAGAGACAGAGAGGGAGATCAGCTGTCTATTTTGACGCTTTTGGTTACTGCTTTCAGGAAATCTTTGATTGGGTGTAGTACTAGTGGAGGAGAGCTCTCTTCCATGGAGATTGGATGGCCTTCTAATGTCAGCCATGTTGCGCATGTTACCTTCGATCGCTTTCATGGTTTTCTTGGACTGCCTGTGGAATTTGAACCCGAGGTTCCCAGAAGAGCTCCTAGCGCCAGGTCAGCTGATATGAAATAGCTGAATATGTTGCTAAATGTATTCTGAGTAATGGGATTTGAACAATCTTTCTCTTTTATGCTTAGGAGTAATTAATTAATTTTGAATGCGTTATTCGATGATATCTGGTTGTCTCTCTTAGTTTTACGGTTGCGAATGTTCCAATCTTCATGAAATTCTCTCCCGACTTCTTTATAAACTTATGTGATTCCATTCAAATTCATGCCTTAAGAACTATAATTTCATTGACGATGCGGCTGTTGGATGACCACGAAAATCCACCTCAAGCGTTTTCTTTGAGAACCCACTTTCAGTGGCTCCAATTTTATGTATTTATTTTTTTGGGGGGGGGGGTAAAAAATCCCTAATTGTACTTAAGCAAGGCTTTTCTATAATAACAAATGACATGGTAGCATTATGCAAGTTTGTTTAATCAGATGAAAACGGAAAATTTGGAATTCCTATTATGGTCAAGATTTGCTTGATCATCTCATCTATTGCGAAAGCATGCCTAGTTTACTGCTACTCTATTTTATTTCCAACCAATTGTTTTCACATTACAAATTAAGCTTGCATGGCATTGTTGCACTGTGAAATACCCTGTGGAAGGCCTGACAATCAGACGCCACAGCCAAATCTTCTAATCCAGTGTAGTTCATGGCTCTAGTACTATCTATAGCTCTCTCGGTTAAATTATATCTTACATGGTAGGCTGCAAAGAGGCTTTTGTCTCCCTTATCCATATGGAAGTGTAGTAAAATCTTAGATCACAGTTGGCATTTGTAGTACCTGTATTTATAAATAACTGCATTCAGATATCAAAGAACAATATGAATATTAATATGCTAAGTTGAAACCTCCTGATGCAATGTGAACTCATTGCGGCTGTGGTTCTCTTATTGTAGTCCTTGCAGTCGAAATCTGATAGCAGCTTGGAATTATGTGGCGTAACATAGAACCAGTTTTGCCCCTCACCTTCTCTCTCTCTCGTTAATTTTTTCCCCCCATTTCCACCTTTTGTTTCCTTGTTGGCTTTGTTGTCAGTTCTTTCTCTGATATTGTAATACACTTCATCAGCGGTGTGGATGCTACCAACATAAATCAAATAACCCTTGAACTTTGATCCCTTGGTACTGCCTAAACTAACACATGGCAGACAACCCCCTACAAGCACTAAGAAGTCATAGAAAATGAGGCTAAATATGTCTTTTATATTTAAACTCAGTAGAACTTCATTCAAGTAGTGCACTTTTAAGTGAAGTTTTGTGAATTTATGCTGTTAATTTAATAAGGACTTGTCAATTTGTGACATGTTTAATATAGAAAGCTATCTGGCACATATGAAAAAGAAACAATGGTGATTGCATTTTCACACTTGTCAATGTACCCTCGATGGTATATCATTGACGTACTCGCTATCTAATTTAGCTGATTAATCGTCTATTTGTTTAGCTACTTATGGCAGCATTCTCTACTTGATTCATATGACATGTCTGATGAATGCACCCATACTTAAAACTTATCATTCACTTGAGTTTTGATATATTTTATTTTATTATCCACAGTGCAAGTGTTTTTGGGGTTTCAACAGAATCTATGCAACTTTCTTTTGATGCCAGAGGAAATAGTGTGCCCACAATACTCCTATTATTGCAAAGACAACTGTATGCACAAGGAGGCCTGCAGGTATTTAGCATTGCATATCCTTCCCTACCATTTTTGGTTAGTCTCCAATGTTACCTGGCCAAATATCGCTGATCAAGGGATGTGAAAACTAATAGTTTTATCTGATGTTCATCTCTTAGTTTGCCGTAAGGCTTTACATAGTTCACTTTTTGATAACTTGAAATATTGAACCTTCACATGCAGGCTGAAGGAATCTTCAGAATTAATGCTGAGAATGGTCAAGAAGAGTATGTGAGGGAACAATTAAACAGAGGAGTAGTACCAGATGGCATTGATGTGCACTGCTTGGCCGGCCTTATAAAGGTATTACCAGATTTATTCTTCCTTCTCCCCCATGAACTGTTTGGAAAAAGTATTCATAATTAAGTTCCTAGATTACATGGTTTCGTTGCGATCTTGTTATGTTGGTATCCGTTTGCAGAGCTCATTCTGACTCATTAAGACAGCTGTTCGGGAGGGATAACTGCACAAATTTGATCTAGTGATGTTTTTTGCAGGCTTGGTTCAGAGAACTTCCATGTGGAGTACTGGACCCTCTTTCACCGGAGCAGGTGATGCAGTCTGAGTCTGAAGAAGAATGTGCTCAACTTGTAAGGCTTCTCCCTCCAACAGAAGCTGCTCTGCTGGACTGGGCAATAAACCTAATGGCTGATGTTGCTCAATTGGAACATTTGAACAAGATGAGTGCACGTAATATTGCAATGGTTTTTGCACCGAATATGACGCAAGTAAGCTAACATCATGTATTTTTTGTAATACTCATCCCTGTTATTTGTGATTAAATTTTTAATCTGATAAAATTATGTTAACTCTGGTGAATATATCAATTATTTTCTTCAGTGCTGTAAATTTGATTTGCTTTCATATCTTCCCCAAATTTTGGTTTATGTTACTCTCATCACACAAGAAAACTATTACCCTTCTGTGCCAAAGCAGTGGTTGTTTCTCCTTTATAAAAATAATGGTACTGGTCAGTTTCCGGGGCACAATGACTGACTAAAATTATAACATCTATGAACTGCAGATGGCAGATCCGTTGACCGCTTTGATGTATGCAGTTCAAGTGATGAATTTTCTCAAGACTCTTGTCCTAAAGACACTGAGAGAAAGAGAGGAGTCTGTGGTAGAATCGAATCCCATTTCTAACCTAGATTCATTTGATGATGACTGGCACCAGAGCCCTTCCTGCCTGGATTTCAAGGATGGCAATGAAGACGGAAATGACACGAATGAAGTAGAGGAAAAAGTCATTGTTACTGAGGAGCCTTCTTCACAAAGCCCAAGTCACCTTTCTGAAGATGGATCTGAAACTGAAAGTGGGTTGAAAACTTTGCCAATATCTTCTGAAAATATCATTTCTCGGGGAAATAGGCTGCTAGTTGACAGTTGCCCTTGCAATGTCATCTCTCAAGTTAGCTTAAGTGGTCTGATGAAGGCGGATCAAGTCAATATTTGCAAGAGCAAAAACCTACCGTTGAGCAAATCAAGTACAGTGAAGTATTCTGAAAAGGTGATTGAGCTGCCCCCAGTAGGCAATGCAGAGAAGAAGAGGGGAATTCCCATTATTGGGCGAATAAACTCGAGAACTGAATTGGCTGAAGCTTGGCGGTGAAAGGACTCTCATTGTGTATCTCGCGGCCTAAGGAGATGTTGCCCCCATCATGTTACAGTGATTACTGTGATTTCTATGGCTGTGGATCTTTTGTGAGATCACGGATGCTGAAATCTGATGGATGGGGAAGTCAGTGATGGATAGGTTAAGAAAAATGCTTGTTTGGAAATGCTTTAGTGCTGGCTTCATTTCATTTTTTCAAATTCGTGTTTCTGGGTGTGAGTTTCTTAGCCATGTATCTTTGTATTTCTGTAACATGCTTAGTTCTAACACTCTTGTTGTAGAGTTCAATGAATTCAGATTGACCTCTTTCCGCGCTTAGTTCCAATCCGCACGAGCTTCGAACGCTTGGACTGTGCCCCATGTCCTCTGTTTTGGAGAGTGATTAGGGGAAAGATAGAGAAAGAATTATAGAAGAACGGTTGAATGGTAAATTTATAAATATTAATATATTTTATCTTCGCGACCTTTTAAATATCCTTCTAAAGCGTTCGAGTTGCAATTTCGAAACGAGAATAAATTATAAACTAATTTGCGAAATATCATGAATGAATTGTAGTTTTCCGAAATGAATTCTCTTTTCAACCTGCACCCGTTATACTGATGTTTTTATCGGATGTCTCCGAAGGGGCTTATATTGATGTTTTCACGGAGTGGTTAAGATACGAACACGAAAGTGACACCTTGCCATCCATGAATCATGACGGGGGGAAAAAAAAAATTGAAAAAGCAGGAGATTTTTATGGGCTTTCTTTTAAGTATTTTTAACCCTTTTCACCCTCGGAAAATTAGTTTTCTAAGTATGAGAGTTAAATCAAGCATACTTTTTGATTGAGCATTTTGCTTGTTTAAATTTGAGGATATAGTTTTGTAAGTTAAAAGATTAAATTAGAAGCAATTACAAATTAAGGATTAAAACTAACTAAAACTACTTGATTAAATTATAAAATAAGAAGATTGAAAACAATTAAAATCGATATTGATATAAAATGTTAAGTAAACAGAAATCAGTTATTTACAAACGATAAATTTTGTGACTTATTCTTCAAACTTGACATAAGTATGTAAGAAAATATATCCATTTAGAACAAAAATAAAATGATCGGATCGTAGAGCTCCAGATGAATATGAAATTAATGCAGAATAAAACTGAAGCTAAAATAATATTTTTGCCATTCACCCATTGAAGAGTCGCCACGTGTTCAGCCCAGAGAAAGGGATACTACAGTGGTCAGTGGGTCGCGTAACACCCGATTGAAACCAACGTGGGACGACATCAACGAACGGATCATTGTGGATACTGGATAACACGAGCAGGAAAGGGGGGGGAGCTCCGGCTGGCACCGTGGCCATGGAAGCGTTACAGTTCTCAACCGTTACCTCCCGCCATTTCTCCAGCTCTGCTCACTCTCTGCCCCATAACCGGAGCTCCTGCTCTGCAAGTTCTGCTACGAAATCAACCAAGCTTTGCTCTTCTTGGACCTGTTCAACAACCGCTGCCGCACTTTCTTCGAAAAATTTGCTCCCAGTAAGTCTGAGAAACTTTGAAGCATGATTCGATTGATTTTTTGTTTCGTTCCTTAGTCTTGTCCTAGTACGTAAAAGAAGTTCAGTACTTTTACGAACAACTCAAGATAACGGAGGCATTTGCTCCAATTTTCACCGTTCTTTCTCACAAATTTAGTGGTGATTGCTCACAGAATGAAATTTGGGGTTGGGTGAACTCCAAAGGCGGCATTGTCAGAAGAAACATGCGCGGAGTGGTAAGGGCGGAAATGTTCGGGCAGCTGACGAGTGGTCTTGAATCTGCTTGGAGCAAGCTAAAAGGAGAAGGTTTGAATCTTGAAGTTGCAAGGCCATGTATTGTGTGCTGATATCTTTATCGCCCTGCATTTCTAAGTAGTCATAGTATTACTCCTTGGTAACGGTAAAATATAGAGGTGTTAATTTGTTGATTTTACCAAGACGCCTACTGGTGATTAAATGTAAAATCCAAAAAAATTGGAGTAGCCACTAGTTATCCGTGTGAAGTTGTTTAGGCTTTTGATTTGACCAAAAGTTCGAAAGGTACCCGGCAAGTTGGGAGTTGGGCCACAGCAAACTGCCGCATGACTTGTTCGTTCATGTTGATTTTGGAGTTTCCATTTTTAAAGTTATCTGTTTCTTGTAGTTGCCAACCTTATTCAATATGATTATTTACGAGTAAATTTGCTTGTAATTAAGAGGTTTTGACTAAGGAGAACATTGCGGAGCCTATGCGAGATATCAGGAGAGCTCTTTTGGAAGCAGATGTAAGATAAACTTAAGAGGCTTGGAACTTTACTGTATCTTCATCAAATTGGTCGAATAAAACACGTTTTGTTGGCAGGTGAGCCTTCCTGTTGTTAGAAGATTCGTGCAAGCCGTCAGCGATCAGGCTGTGGGTGTGGGCCTGATTCGAGGAGTGAGACCAGATCAGCAATTGGTCAAGGTAAAATTATGAATTGAGTTGATGGTAAATTGTAAAAACAGATGGTAGTTCTTGGTTTTAAGGGAAAACTTATTATAACTGTGTCTTTATGAAGCTCATACTGGATTTTCGACTTAACAGATTGTACATGATGAATTAGTTAAATTGATGGGTGGAGAGGTCTCTGAACTGGTTTTTTCCAAGTCTGGGCCCACTGTCATTTTATTGGCCGGACTCCAGGGAGTTGGGAAGACAACTGTTTGTGCAAAGTTGGCAAATTATCTTAAGAAACTGGTGCATTGGCAATCTCCCTTCTGTTTACTTTCTTTTTATCTTTCTAAGTTTTTTTGCAGGTAATAAGTTGTTTATCTCATATTGACACAAGTCATCTTAACTGTAACCATAGGGGAAGAGCTGCATGCTGGTTGCGGGAGATGTATATAGACCTGCTGCTATTGACCAACTAGCTATTTTGGGTAAACAGGTACCGTGATTGAAAGTCATGAAGTTGACTGGTTTCAACTCCTAGAGCAATAAACCTCTAGTGGATATTATCAAGATTGTTACGCAACTATCTAATCAAATTTATATTTTTGCATGGACTCCTTTGCTTAACTACTTTTACCTTTCCCAATAACAAAGCATTATAGTTTCCTTGTTCCTTCTATTCTTTTCTATTTTTGTCCTAAGTAGTGAAATAAGAACGTTTGAAAGTGTTTTTTTTTCCAATGGGTTTCTGAACTTTACATCCACCCACCCATTTGGTTAATCTTGATATTTTCTTCTCTTTACCAATGTCCTTGTGTATAATTTTCTCTTAGTCTCTTAACATATGGAAGGGACAAGAGAATCATCTTGTTCATTCTGCATATCTCCCATGATTCTTAATCAGGTGATTTCAGACCATAGATACCAATATCGAATTATCAGAGCTGACATCGTGACTCTTGTTTATTTCTCTATTAGCATTTTTGTGTCTAATCATATATTCATGATGAGGTATAGCTTGTATCAGGTGGGTGTGCCTGTCTATACAGCAGGTACTGATGTTAAACCGTCTGAAATTGCTAAACAAGGTTTAGAAGAGGCAAAAAGGAAGAAAATTGACGTGGTTATTGTTGACACTGCTGGAAGACTTCAGGTAATTCTATATGACATGGGAAATTGTAGCAAATAATCATATTCATGATTCTGGCGTATTTTGTGGAGTTATTTTTGTTTCTTGATTGAGGATTATTTGTTATAAAACAGATAGACAGAGCAATGATGGATGAGTTAAAAGAGGTAAAACAGACAATAAATCCTACAGAAGTTTTGCTAGTTGTGGATGCAATGACTGGCCAAGAGGCGGCAGGTATTCATAATTATAATTTTACCCTCTGGTGAGACATTTTGAAAGTCTGCATTGCAATGGAATATTTGTGTTACCTTCATGCTTTTGTATAATATATAGTCTGTCCATTGCTCCATCCGTAGGAACTGAGCACAATAATTTTATATGAAATGATTTTTGGGGAAAAATGTTATCATGTTGTTGATCCTACTTTTCTTTGTCTTTGGTCATGTAACTGGTATAATGCTTAGAGCTACTAAAATAATCTGACTTCACAATTTTCTGCAAACAGGCTTGGTCACTACTTTCAATCTTGAGATTGGGATAACAGGCGCCATCTTGACAAAGCTAGATGGAGATTCAAGAGGCGGAGCAGCTTTGAGTGTCAAAGAGGTTTGCTTTGTCTCTCTGTCTTAGATTTTATCAGGTGTATTTATTTTGTATGTTTTACCGCCAAACATTGGTCTTTGCTTTCATAAACAATGTGTCCAATTCCATACTAGAACTTTCAACATCACTTGCCTCTAATGACCTTAAATTGTGTCATCCTGGCCGTTATTGCCATTGCTTGATGCGGTGTGTCAATTGTGCCTCAACAGGTTAGCGTCCTAGGCTACTTTTTGTGAAACAGTTTGGCTGACATGTTAATGGCGGCTTGGAAAAACTGGTAGCCTTGTTACTGACTAGATTTGATGGATGACCATTGATGTGATTCTCTTACAGATGGATTTGGACCATATTTCATCGCATTGTGTTAGCCTAGTGAACCCCTGAAAAGTATTCTGGAAATTGTCAGATTAAATGAAATGTTGAAGATCACTTCCAGGGATTCTGGGCTGTATTCCGGTTCCCATATAGTGAGTATAAGTGCCCATTGCAGCCTTTCTTTAGGAGATATGAACAGTTACACCTATGCCCTGAAAACTCATGATTCTCTTGAGGGCCTTCTTAGAAGCATATTATCAAAGATTTCTCATCAACCCGCTGTCCTTTGAATTATTTCTTAAGTGGCAAAATATATTAGGATAGCTATTTGATTCCTTGCAGTGACATTTATCATCACCATATTTCTTGGCTTATAAGGAATTGTAAAAGGCCCAACATAGTTAACTATTGGGAAGCGCTCTGTCTCTCTCACAGTTTATCTGATAGGATGCTACAATAATGGCAGGTATCTGGGAAGCCAATTAAGCTGGTAGGACGTGGAGAACGTATGGACGATCTTGAACCTTTCTACCCTGATCGAATGGCTGGACGAATATTGGGAATGGGAGATGTTCTATCATTTGTAGAGAAGGCGCAAGAAGTTGTGAGTTTCTACATATCCCTAAGTTGTTCATTTGATAGAATGAAAATTAGATTTTATTTTCTTAACCACTTGTATTTGTAGATGCGTCAAGAAGATGCTGAAGAACTGCAAAAGAAGATTATGAGTGCGAAGTTTGACTTTAATGATTTTCTCAAACAAACTCGTGCCATAGCAAAAATGGGTTCTGTGTCTCGTGTCATTGGAATGATTCCTGGAATGGGAAAGGTATGAAATCTAGCACGAGTTTTCCTTATTATTTATGTCAGATAGTTTTATGCATGGACTGCTGCAAATACAATGGGAAATAAGAAGGCAGACGTTTCTTTTGAAAACTCCCAGTTTTAGTTTACGAAATTGAAAATTGGGCATTGCAAGCATCTGCAAATTTTCCTTAAGTGTACTTGTTCTTCTGTTTCTGTGGATCAATTAAAAGCAAATGCTAGTAAAATGAATAAGCAAAACTTCAATTTATCTATTATCTAATTTTATGCAACCAGGTTACTCCTGCACAAATTCGAGAAGCAGAGAAGAGTTTAAAGCTAATGGAAGCAATGATAGAGGCAATGACCCCTGGTCTGTTTCTCTGTCTGACCAATGAAGTCTTGTTTGTTAACTAAACCTTTTATCGTTTAAATCTATGTAGCATTGTTCTTGGACATGGGAGTATCTTGAGTCAATAAACTTTGATGACTTAACTTTCACTTTGTTGAATCTACATTGATTGATTCATTTTATCCAACTTTTCTTGTTTATTTCAGAGGAGAGAGAAAAGCCAGAACTGTTGGCGGAATCACCTGCTAGGAGGAAAAGGGTAGCTCAGGATTCAGGGAAAACAGAGCAGCAGGTATGTGGAACTGATCTTTAGTGAAGTATTTACCATAGGAGAGCTTAAAGGTGTGGTTTTTCTCCATCAGTGCTATGCTTGAAGAGAATATCTGAACAATGTTAGGTAAGCCAACTTGTGGCTCAGCTCTTCCAAATGCGTGTGCGTATGAAAAATCTGATGGGTGTGATGGAAGGTGGATCTATTCCAACACTTAGCAATCTTGAAGAGGCACTTAAAACGGAGCAAAAGGTAAAAAAATCCATTTTCTATGTATGTGAAGTATGAATCTTATAGTTTTTGGATGTGACGGGGTCCTTTCAAGCATCTTCGACGTGTTAAGACCAAAATCTGCATTTGCTTTTGCTCCTGTTCAAATTGGTCTTGTAGTTAATTATCACATTGATTTGAATTAAAATGCATGTGAAGTTGCATTCAACTTTTGGCATGGTGCCAAAGTGCTACAACCTTCTACATCTTTGGACCTGAAATGTCCACTCAAACTTATGGAATTGCATCTTCGGACCTGAATGTATAAAAGAGAAAAAAAATTTTTTAAAAAAAAGGGACAACAGAAAACTACAGAGTTTTGTGCTTGTGTGCGCCTGTGTGTGGGATAAGAAGAAAATTTGATGCCGTTTGGTTTGTCCATTCTACCCTTACAAGGCTCCACCGGGTACGGCAAGGAGGAGGAAGAGATCAGAATCAAGAAGGCAATTTGCAGACTCAGCATCGACAAGGCCAAGTCCTCGAGGCTTTGGGGCTGGAAATTGAAAATATCGTTATCCAGTTGACGTTGTAATGCAAAGTTTGGCTCAAACGGTCATCAGCATTCGACTGTTGGTTGATATTACTTCCATTTCCCGGAGATAATTAGCATGTTCTCGTGAGAAAATCAGTGCTTATGAGCTCCTTCAGAGTTTGATGTAATTTTGGCACAAATGATTTATGCAGTTAGGATGTGGAAATCCGGAGGACACGAGTGTAATTTTTGTACAATCTCAATTATGTATCTATACAGTGTAATTTTATGCTGACGGGGACCATCCGGAAGTTTTCACTTGTATTTCCGACCTGCGAGTCGAGCCTTGTTCTCATATTTGTTGGATTGAGCTTCATGTATGGTGGTGGTGGAGATAACTTTACAGTTACGTGATATGATCCACCCCAATTTAGACAAGTCATGAATGTGATTTTCAGAAGCCAATAGTTCTGATGTCATTTGATGCGCAATTCAGTTTTTTTTTTTTTAAACCTGAGGGTTTTATTAATCAAATTTAAAAATTGAAAATAAGAAACATCTTTTTTTATGGGGAAAAATAAATTATGACGTTTCCTGCTTAGTTTGTACCGTTAAAAAAAGGGGCGCTTTGATTGTTAAAGGTTTATGTCTATATTCGCGTCAGGCAGGGGGAAAAAAAACAAGACGAAGAAGAAATGACGCGTACGCAAAAGATTAGCGTCAACGATCTCAGAAGTTAGCGAGGAAGAAGGGGAATTTCGTCAAAGATCCTTAAAACCATAACTGCCTCAACATTCAGAAAATCACCACGTGTTGATTCAGGGATGAACAAAGCTTGTTGGCATTGATTGATTTTGGCGATCCATTGATGAGACTATAATCAAGAAAGCTCTCTTTCCATAATTTCTCTCCTCAGTTTGGTCATAATCGTTTAACGAAGTTACTTTCAGAGCCTTCAATCCAGAGAACGAAAATGACAACCCCACTTGAGAATTCCGACAAAACATTTCCGGCTGCAGATATTGATGGAGAATTGAATCCCGGCGCAAATAGGCAAGTCGAAGTTGATCCTACCTCATCCGAGTTCGCTGCCTCCAAGGTCATTACTTCTTCTTCCTCCTAGAAACTGCGACTAATAATTTTTGATAAAATCTGATTTATAAATTCATTTTCAGGATCAATGCTTTGCATATATCTTGCTTTGTTTTCGTACGTTGTATTAATTAGTTTTATTGGATGAAGGAACAAGCTGAAACCAGACTGAAGGAAGAGAGGGAGCAGAAGGAAGCCATGCGCACGCTAAAATTCAGCATTATGATTGCAGGCATAGTTGCAGCTGTTGCAGGAGCTGCCTTTGTCATGGCCAAGAAGCTAAAAGAGAAATGACCTTCGCAAAGAATTATGAAAGAAATTTCTATAAATATCAGATTAGATAACAATATATCTAGGTTGTTTTTGGTTTTTCCATTTTTTTAATCCTTTTTAATTTTAATTGCCGAGTCTCTTTGTTTTTGTTTGATTTGTTCGCTAATAGAGGTTCTTATAAGCAGTGCCTCGCCCCAGAACACCGTTGCGCATTCACATTGAAATTAAACCACCCAACATTTTTTTTTTAATTTAGTATTCCAAGCATTTGCATGTCAAGTTTTATTTTACCATCAAAGAAAGGAAAAAAGGTAAGCAGATTTACCCAACACTGTTATCATTCCTTCTCTGTTCTTTTTATTGCTCAGACCCCATTCTCTTTCTTTTTCTTTTTCTTTTTTCAAACCTGAACCTTTCAATTTTTTTTTTTGTACCAGCAAATTGGGAGCACAAATTAAATCTTATTCATATTAAACATCAAAGAGCAGAGGTACCATTTTTCAACACACTAAAATAAAATATTAAATATGTATTAATAGCAAATCGTTACATACTTACGTGGCAAATGGAGGAGTATTAAGTGGATCGTATCGTGTAACATGGCCAATAAAAGTTAAAAAGTGCATTGTAATTTACCACAATTATTAACAGCACTCAAAGATGGCAATATATGTTTTGGTGTGCCTTGGCAGTGCTGGGGCATAATATTTAGCTCGCGCCGGCGGTGGTGGTTGTGGAACTCACGGGGAGCCCCAGGACTTAACGCTGTTCTCATTGTGAAGCTCAGCGATAGAGCCCGAAGGCTCACGTGAGGTACGAGGTACAGCTTCAGAGTCTCCGACATTTCCCTCGGCCTTCGCCTTCACCTTCGTTGGCCTTCAGCCTTCAATTTCTTCGGCCTTCACCATCAACTTCCCGTTTCAGGCTCTCACGTCGTTTGCTCTTCACAGTTCGTCTCCTCGTCACCTTGTACTCCGTCTCCTCCTTCGAGAGATCTGCTGGAACTGGGACACGAGTTTAAGAGATCTTCTGTATTTGGTTTGCATAATTGCGTTTATTCAATTTGTCAGTCTTCTAGTTCTTTCGACTTGATTTAATTTTGAATTGCTTACACGATATTTCGGTTCGAAGTATCGCTCAATCTTTGAATTTCCTTCTCCAGTTCTATCTCTATATGTAAATTACTCCCTGACAATAGTCTGGCTTCCAGGCCTCTTGCTCCCCTATCTCACAATTGGAAATATTATAAAGATTACAGTTTATGGCAGCAAAATGGTCTCCTTTTACTTTCCATTTCCGCTGGACTGCAGCTTGTATGCTGAATTATCTTTTTCCGTTCCATATTTACTTTCAATACCTTCAAACAAGTATTTTATGTTTACCAGGGTGCACAGATATTTGTGTTGTCTTGGTGCTTTCCTTACATATTGCTTTCGCAAGAGACGATTCAGAATACAACCGGCAGTCCTGAGCATGCTTGTTCCCGATTGTGGATGAATTCTTTGCAAAGCAAATTAAGTTCAATGATGAATATAAACTGCTTCGGAAGGAATCTCTTCTCCGCCTCATTCCCCCTTCCCGCTGTGCAACTTCCTGCAAAAAAGTATGAAATGGTTTTGGGTATTCACTATCGACTGGGATGCTATGGTTGTAGAACACATCCATTTTTATGACATGCTGTCAGATTACTATGAAAGTCATTCTATTCTGAATTAAATCTTTTGGTATATCATCCTAAATGTCGTCTGTTGGCTTAGCATAGATTGTCCAACCACCTATTACTTTGGAATGCAGGGAAGTTCATTTTTGGTATATTTTACCAGATGAAGTGAATAGCGCAAATCTACTAAATCAATATACGGAAATTTTATCACCATGTGAAAAAGAAAACATCTTCCGCATGAGAGGGGAACTGCTAAAGAAAAGAGCACTGTTAGCTCGTACATTAGTTCGCACTACCTTAGCAAGATGTAAGATTTACAATTCTGTTACTGAACTCTTGTTTCTTTTTGAACTTTCATTCCCTTTGTATTTACCCTTCTAATATGGCGTAGCACAAATCTGTAGACTTGTGTACCTATATCTCTGATTCTTCTATTTAGTTACACATCTTGTATCCATTTAGAATTCAATGGATTCTAATTTTTTCGTTTTTGCTGGTTGGTGCTTCGTACTGTGGTAGCAAGATCTATTTATAATAGCCAAATGCTACCCAAAAATTTTCCTACTAAATATATTTTATCTATTGACTATTGCCTTCTTTAACTCAAGCAGAGAACCGAAACCCTTTTTTTCATCATCTATAAACTTTTCTCCAGCACACAACTGAATTTTTATGGTACTACTGTCAATTTTAGTATGAAAACTTTGTAATTTCTTTTCTGCATCAACTGCTTTTGATCATGCGATATGTATATACTATTTTGTGAGAGAGGCCAAGTATCTAAACATATTATTTATTACTAGACCAGACGAATTGTCAGATTGATCCAAAATCCTTAAAGTTTGCGAAGAACACTTATGGAAAGCCTGAGGTAAGTTGTTCTGATCATTGTCTGCTAGGGAGTGTTGTTCTTTTTGTTTATTTGACTTATTTGTCAACTTTTCTTAATAATTAAGGCTTTTAATAGCATATTTGAATAGGTAGACTGGCAATATTCTGATGATTGGAGCCTGCCGCCATTGCATTTTAATATCTCACACACTTCATCGTTGATAGCTTGTGGAGTGACAGTGGATTCTCCAGTATGTATTACATGTATTATATATATAAGCACATTCTCTTAATTTTATGATTCATGACGTTTTCCCCTCCTTTTTTGATTGTTGTTTTTCTTGTTGAAGGGTATTTGATATCTGAACTGATTGAATTTTCTAAAAAACATCGTAGATTGGCATTGATGTGGAAGAGAAGAAAAGAAGGTTAAAGAATAATATTTTAGCTTTTGCCCGACGATACTTTACTCAGCATGAATTGGAAATGCTGACTGGCATTTCAGATCCTGAAACTCAACGACAGGAGTTTATAAAATTGTGGACTCTGAAGGTTGGGACGAACATTAAATGTTAATACTTTTCTTATTTGATCTATACTCTGGTCTCTTATTCAGTTATGCAATGTGTCAATTGACCAGTTAAATGTAATGTGGTATCCATAAGCTTCATTTGAAATTATTGTTTTCCCATATAATGAGAAGTACAATTGAGAGAGAGGATAACTTCTCACTGTTGTAGGTTGAAATTCAAGTCATGTTCTGCTTCTGGTTACAAAAGTAGAAAAGAAAATCATGTTCTGCTGTCCTGCAGTTTTCACTTACGGTCTGATTCCTATTTACAGGAAGCTTATGTAAAAGCACTGGGCAAGGGCTTCTCAGCTTCACCTTTTAATACATTTACTGTTCGATTAAGGGACTGCTTGAAAAAAGGCATATGTCATTCGCCTCATCTGATTTCTGAGGTATGCTCCACATTTAGGAGTTGGCTTGTAGGAAGCTGAGAGATGTTTAGCCATTCATGACACGATTCTTCTTCAGGACTCTGCTTCATTCGAGGGGAATGATAGTAATAGTGTTTGATTTATTATTCTTCTAACAAATTCATGCTCTTTAACTATCTTGTTTATTGAATTTCACATCGACATAAGTCCTTTTGTTTCATCTGCCATGTGCACTTTACTGGCCCTATAGGTACCCAAAATAATTATTGAATCATCTGGTGATCGCAATGATCCCTCGGGAAACTGGCAATTTGTGCTTCTGGAGTTGTTGCGTTCTCATTATGCTGCTATTTGTATGGAGCAGGACACGATCTCTGGAGGTAGTCAGTCTTGTTCAATGTTTAGCGCACTGTATAGTTGTTGCTAGAGACTTATGTTTGTGGTTTTGCAGGCAATGGTAGCGTTCCAATAAATCTGACCATACGGAAAACGATCCCTTTCGTTAAAGATGAACATATATCCGGGACTGACGTTGTAGTAGTTGGTGGATTGACTAGACTCTTGGGTCCTGCATAATGACAACAGCGCAAGAAGTGTCACTCCTATATATCGTGCACAACTTGTATACTTGATTAATTTGTGTACTCTATCTGAATGTAAGGCTTATTTCCCATTTTCCAGTGACAATTTTGTGATATATGATTAAAAAGTTGGTGGTGATTGTGATCTTTTTGGTTCCCGTGAGCACCGAAATGAGAGAACCAATTAGCCCACTGCACTTATTCTAATCTAACTTGAACTATGGACAAATTCACCATTCACCATTTTATAAAACAACGATTATTATATTTGTGTAATTAAACTTGAAGGTTAGGAGAAGTTATAGGTTAGTGTTTGTTGTCTAAAAAGGTGTTTGGGTAACTTCAAAATCGCTTTTTAGAATCACTTTTCTATAAATCGAGGTAAACTCCTCCACATATTTACTTCGTATACTTTAAAAACACTTCTAAAACCATGATTTTATTTTTACCCAAACACACTCTAAGTATCAGAATCAGGCCACATATTTCCTAGAGCATCTCCGTAGCTTCAGAAATGAGGAGGTAATTCCTTTTAAAAGTAGTCAAATTGAAATAAAATGAAATCCGGATGCTAAACTAAAATTAAAATGAAATTGAGCCAAATTACTTTCTTTTCCCCCAGTGTATAAGCTAGCCCCGTATGCCGTAAGCAAAATATGATGTTCTATTATTAGTTCTGCGGAGGTAATGTTGTAGATTCATAACTCGCGGTTGCAGTAGGAGTGCCAGTGTTTGATGGGTGCTCACTTTTGCTTTGATCTTTCCGTTGAATTGAAGGGGGCAGCATGCAAGAGAAATTTTAGATTTCTTTATTGTTGTCGTGGCCGTCGCGGTCTAAGGCCATTTTGGTTTAAAATAAATTTGCAAATTATGACTTGAACGTGGGTCAACTCAAGATAGTTAAAACGAAAGTATTTGGATATCATATTCAGCACCTCCAAAAATTCTTCTAGAACTTAAAAAGCACATCCACAAATCTTAAAAATTAACCAAAAAGTTACCTTGGCACGCAGGTAAATCTACTTTTACCGATTTCGAAATCAGTTCGAAAAATATAATTTTATAATTTGAAAACCGCATATTAGATGATGAAATATTGACAGCTGGTAGAGAAATGAGCATAAACTATGAAATATGTCTTGCCTTCAGGCCAAAAAAAAAAATAGTGCATCTTGCCTTGGTTAAAGGAAAACAGTGTCCTGCCCAACGGAGCTAAGGATGAGCAGGCCGCTGTGTGTGTGTGTGTGTGTTTTCATGGATCCTAAAAGGGACATTTTATCGATTCCAAAAATCTTTGGGGGGTTTGTGAATGAAAGGAAAAACGAACAATCACCATGCATGCCACCACTAAGCCCTTGATAGCAAAAGCCCAAAAAAGGGAAAAGAAGAAGAGGGAATAATAGTAAATAGAAGGAGGCCCGGTCCAAAAGGCCCAAAAAGACCCGATTCGACCGGCAAATAGCAAAACCGATTGTCTTGCCTGATTGAGTAGGGCACATGACACTATTCTCAGTCGAAGGTGGACGCGGGACTTCCTCTTTCTTTCGCGCATTAAGGTACTTGAGCTCTTCAAAATGTTTCTAGATATTTTAAGCGTACCTTTTTTCGCATCAATAACTATCGTTCCAAACGTCTGGCTCTGGCGAAAAAGTTATCGTGATGGAGGTATGTCGTATATGCTGTTAGTTAACAAAGCAATTGCTTTTTCGCGTAGTTTATTGCTTGTTGAGATGGTGAGGCCTGCCTGATTCAGGGCTTTGTGTCCTCTGCTGCAAATTTTATAGCGCATTGTTTCCGGATGCCCTTTCCTATAAGATTATTCTGATGCGTGAGGTCTCAGACAAGGGGACAGTGGACACAAGTTGTGTTCAATTTGCCGGTGTGTGTGTATCCAAATTTAAGCAGGAACTGTTCACATTTCAACATGTAAATTGGTTAATAATCAGAAACCTAATAAACTAATCATGCAGTGTTTCCCTTCTAAGTGGAGGTGAGGAACTTAAAGAGGAGAGATTCGAGCTTGGGTCTCTGTTTTACATGTTTGGTAATTATAGTTATGGTCATATTCATCCCTGTAGGGCCCTTGTTTGCCCAACAGAAATATAAGTACATAATTGGGGTCTATATTTCATTTTCACGTGTCTGTCTGTGTCAGCGTGTGCGCTTTAACTAGACTTATTTTTAAAAGTATATAGGAAGATTTCAGTTGGAAATATAATCCAATCTTCGCGTTCAACTTCTTATCTCTATATATCATGTACTACCTCTGGTCCTATTTATAAGAGCTAGTTGACTAATTTTAAGAGATTAAGAAAAGAAGTTAAGTTAATTATTTGTAATTAATAGGTGTTGTCTTTTTTAAAATATCATTGTTAATCAAGTATATTGGCTAGAAGTACTATTGTTGGAAGGACTATCTTAGAAAAAAAAAAGCATAAATATTAGAGACAAAGTAGATTAGGTTTTTATATTTAAGACCAAAATAAAAATCAAACGAGGTCTTATATTAAGAATCGGAGGTAATATATACATATTGTACTGTTTACATTTTTATATTTTGTAGCTTAATTTCTTATTCCTTTCTTGTGTTCCTTTTCCCCTCTTTCTCTGCGTGCAATGTCCCGGACCAATAATGAAGCTATTAAACTGGCCAGTGTTTTCTGGGCTGAAATCACGGGAAATTCACTTAATTTCTTCCTCTCTTTGGCCTATCCGGCATCATAAGCCTCATATTTCGTTCAAAATTCTTTCTTGCCTGTCTCTTACAATCGGTACTATGCTATCCCTCGATTTAGAATCAATCACTTCGCCATTCCTTGGGCCATACTACACTTGTCTCTGCAATTCCAATCGGCCTCTCATGTTGTTTCATTCCACCTTTCCATATTTTCATTCTCTCTTCTACCAATGCTTCTGGCTTCAATGCTTCCGTCGCAATTGCCCTTGAAGCTTGCTTTTTTAGATTTGAAAAATGCCAGGGATGAGAAGCGGTGATGTTGAAGCCCAAAATCCAGAGTCACAAGAGAAGCAGGGTGACCTTGAAAAACCTACTGAGTCTGAAGAGAAGGTAGACTTTGATGGTGAAAATGATCAAGGCGATACCATGGAGGATGAAGTTGAATATGAAGAAGTAGAGGAGGAGGAGGAAGTGGAAGAGGAAGAGGAAGAGGAAGATGAAGAGGAGAGGGTGGAGGAAGAGACTGACGGGGCTGGCAATAGAAATGTTGCAGATACTGAGGATGAAGATGAGAAAAAGAAGCATGCAGAGCTTCTTGAACTTCCACCTCACGCGTCAGTGGTTTACATTGGTGGCATTCCTCACAATGCTTCTGAAGAGGATTTAAGGGACTTCTGTCAATCTGTGGGAGATGTATTTGAGGTAAGATAAACAAAGTTCTCCTAAATTCCTTCTTGATTGTTCATTCAAACTAACGAAATTTAGTGCAGGCTAAGATTATGAGGGGAAAAGAATCTGGGGAAGCGAAAGTTTATGCATTTGTGACCTTCAAGACAAAGGAGATGGCTTCTAACGCTATTGAGAAGCTGAACAAGTCTAAATTTCAGGCATGTTTCTGGACCTTCCCCCCCCCCCCATTTTTGTTTAATATCTTAAATTTTCTTAGTTACTAATTGTTAGGTCTTAGGCATGGCTCTCTCCTTTTGTTTTGATTTTTCATTTTCACTTTTTCCTTATTTTATAACCTTTCTTTTTGGCTGACTGCTATTGCATTAGTGTTTACTTCTGTGTCTTTTGGAACCACCCTCAGATTTACTTTACTTCGTTTTCAGGGAAATGAAATAAAATGCTCAGCATCTAAAGAAAAACATAGGTTGTTTATTGGTAATATTCCTAAACACTGGACAGAGGAAGATTTGAGGAAGGCTATTACAGAAATTGGGCCTGGTGTCAATTCTGTTGAACTGATGAAGGTTTTTGACACAATCTCCACTGTTTTTGATAATTTCCTCGCGTTTAACTATAACGGTTTTGCTGCTACAGGAACCAAAGAATTCAGATCGTAATCGTGGATTTGCTTTTGTTGAGTATCACAATCATGAATGTGCAGAATATTCAAGGCAGAAGATGTCCAACTCAAAATTTAAACTCGACAGCAATGCTCCGACCGTGAAGTGGGCTGAACCTAAGAGTGCTGAATCGCCTGCAGCCTCCCAGGTGATTTACTTTTCGCTTCACAATTTTAAAATTTATTATGTGATTGCCGTTAGAAATTCCATGATGAAACTGTTTCTAGGTTTGTTACTGCCTCTGTGTTCTTATCTCAATATAGATGGTCATATTGGATGGTCCCATTAACGAAGATAATCCATCAAAGGTGTACTTATTTTTCTGGTTTAACAAATTCATTCATGTTTATATCCCTTCCTTTCTTTTTATTATGCTAATTTTGGCCTCTTGCTCGTTGATGAAAAGGTTTAGTTTGTTTTCTTTTAGTTGTTTTAATGGTCTTCACAAGGAAATTCTTGTCAATTTTAGTATATCTATGAACTGAGTTATACATTCTCCAGAAAGCTGTTTGACTGATGGTAATTGATTGATACAGGTAAAGGCCGTGTATGTAAAGAATCTGCCAGAAAGCATTACCCGGGATCGTCTTAAAGCGTTGTTTGAGCATCATGGAGAGATCACAAAAGTGGTACTCCCTCCTGCTAAAGCTGGCCATGAAAAGAGCAGATTTGGTTTTGTTCACTTCGCCGAGAAGTCATCAGCAAGGAAGGCGTTGGAGGGTACCGAGAAATATGAAATTTACGGTATATCTTCTGTCCACATATACCTTTGTCCACTCCCTAGTTTTCTCAAACAACTGTGTGGACAAGTATATTGCAATTTTTGGCTTTGACAGGCCAAGTTTTGGAGTGTTCACTTGCAAAACCACAAGCAGCTCAGAGGTCATCCAGGACACCGGTTTCACAGAGCTCAGTTGCACTGCCAACTTATCCATCTCAACTCGGTTATGGTTTGGTTGGAGGTGGCTATGGTTCTTTGGGTTCAAGATATGGTGCAGCTGGCTTTACACGAGTAAGTCGCTCTTTTTCTTGCTTTAAACTATTACGTCTATGGATGAATGGGATTTTTGTTTTTCAAAATACTGTCTCTACCCTTCACCCCAAAAATAAAAAAATTGAGTGAACCCCTAGAGTGAACTGCACATTACTAATTGATAAATCACCATGAATTTGTATTATTGCCCTTTTGACCCCATCTGTTTGGTTCTGTATTACCGTTGCTGATATAGAGGTTGTGCGGTTGTGCCTCATTTTGCAGCCGTTGGTCTATGGCAGGGGAGCGGCTTCTTCTGGTATGGCAATGATGCCTATGCTCTTACCTGATGGAAGGATTGGATATGTATTGTGAGTGTGATTTTCGTAGTTTGGGTTCATTTTTTTCTTTGGCCGAACATGTTCAGCTCACTTCTACCCAGTTATAGAAGAGTCTTTGATTAGCTTTGTTTCTTGTTCTGCAAATTGGTTATAGTTGAAATTCCTTGTGTTTGGCTATAGGCAACAGTCAGGATTGCAACAGCATTCCCGTCCACCGCCATCCCTTGGTGGCAGGAGAGGTGGCAGCTCCATTGGTGGGAGACGCAGTAATGACAGGAATCGGAGCCGATATCATCCCTACTAACATAATTGTCTTCCCTTCGACTTCAAGAAGCAACGAACTTGAAGCTTCCCTGCTGGAAAACTCAGCTTGGTGCAGGCTGATGAAAATTCATGATCCGTACCAATTCTGTGCATGTATATATTTCTTAGGGTCAATAACGGCTGTAAAGGAATTTATAGAACCGAGTAATCTGCGGGACGAGGCTATACGATTGATGGGGTCAAGGTTGTTTTTTGATCATTAGGCCGTATTTTATGTTGCTGAAGTTAAATTTAGGAAATATATTATAATCTTTTGTTTTTGAACCTTCAACTATTCGTTCAGTTTAAAAGTCACAAGAATTGAATTATTATTACAAGCAAAAGAATCATGAACAGGAATCTTGCAGCACCTGAAAGCTAAATACAAGCGAAAATTTACACATGACCTTTAATCAAGGTCATCAAATCGATTATAACCCGTTTCAAGGCTTAACCTCTTAGCCCCAGTCCTCCATCATTTTAGATAAAAAATAATCATACCTCTCGTACAGGCATAAATCATGATCATATCAAACCATATAGAATTCTCGGGAACAAAATACTGAATTGAAAACAGACAAGAAGTTTGCAGTTAATGTCGGAAAAGAGTAATAAGAATCGAATACAACTTGAAATTAATACCAACACATGAAACCTAAACTAAATACGTCAAAACATGTATCCACTATCCAGGTTATTATATATATTTGAGATGTAGTGATAATTAAGTCTATATATGTACTTTTGGACATACTTATTTAACTGATATTCCTCATGTAAAGGCTGAGAAGTCCTTTGGCGGCTCGATCCAAATGTTCTCAAAAGGGTCCTGTTCTCCCCAGTCATGATACTGCTTATGAGGATAGTATCTACAGTCATCAAGAGAGAATGATATGCAGCGTTTTCCATAAAAACGAACTTTAGAGAAGTAGACATGGTTTCTCATTATTCCAGGGAGATCGGTCCTTGAATGAGATGACAGGAAGCTAGCAAAAAGAGTAACTCCATCAAGTGTTTTCATCTCTTCCCACTCCAGAAGTTGCCGATCTAACTTGAAAATAATGGGGTTTTCACTAGAACAAGTATAGATAACTATTATATCTCCTTGGTACTCCGTCATAAATTTTCCCTTCCACCAATTTTTGGCGAAGAATTTCTCTGGGCATTTGGGCGGAGGTACAGCTAGAACATTCCATGTACATTCAACTGGGTCAAAAACCCCTAGCCAACCTGTGAGGCTCAGACAATAGAAGAGTCCATCACAAAAGACAAGCTTATTCCAAATGCTACTGACAAATGGCAAGCGGTTCTGGTAATTGACAGTAGTCCATTCTGTTGCCCCAGGAAAACATGTGCTAATGGCCACAACAGTAGGACTGACATGCTTAACAGTAAACAGAACACAGCCAGGAGATGTTGGAGCACAAGAAAAGGCAACTATTTGGTACGTCATTTCAAATCTTGGCAGTTTGATCATCTCCCGTGAAAAAGGATTAAAGAAAAACACCCGGTGTGTTCTGGGTTGGTAAAGTAGCAACCAACCATCTTTGGTATAACACACTCGAGAGCCACTCAACTCTGGCAACTCAAGTGAATGGGTCTTGCGCTGCACAGGGTCATAGAAATCATACCAGCTGCCAAATTTGGGAAAGTACATGAGCCATGGAGATTGATTCACTACGCGAACAGCAGTGGCAACAGAATGCCAACTCTTGCACACAGCAGAAGCACGTATATTATCTTCTAGGGTCAGCTGGGACAAAATCAATTCTAAGAGATGTGCAGGAAGATCAGACCAGTTTTGCAGCTCCAAATGTTCGCTCTTCACCTCGTTTGCTGCTCTTCTGTTGTCTGCAATAGTATCATTTAGCCTAAAGAATACAATTGTTGATCAGTGAAAGATAAAAATAGAACAGCTTCAGTGAATATCCTTAGATACAACAAGCAGGAAACTATTGCAACCTAGAGACTCAAACAGTTCTGTACACAACAGAGATGCAAAGAAAGACAAATCGCAGTTTTTTTTTTTTTTATAGTCTCTATTATATCATGTTATCATTACTTGATAGCATCAATCCCTTTTTATTACGTTTGTTGTATATAAGGGTACAACTCATTTTGCATCAAGTTCTCTCTCTCTTCTCCTGTCCATGCTGAAGATTCAGTACACCAAGTGTAAGCTGAAAGCTCATCATATGATCTAGAGGAGCACTAATACAGCGTCAGGACGAGAAGTAGATGATCATAACACCCAAATTCACAAGAATAAAGGCTAGAATAAGGATTAAATGATAATAAACGACCAAAACAAAACATATTAGTATTACTAACTAAAAAATGTACAGGGCCTAGAACCATTCAGTCTACCAGGAGCAAAGCACAACCATAGTTAACGGTTTAAAAGATACAGTATAGTTACAAATAGTCCAAGTAACCACCAATTCAAACTGCAGCGACCCATCGTGGTCAAAAAATTCAGAATTTAACAATGATCTAAATTATAAACCCTAGAGCAGTCACGATCACAAAGTAAGTCCATTTCAAAATCAATTAATCCGCCAAATTTATGAAATTCAGACTCAAAAACAAGAATTCAGCAAAAGAAAACGGGCAGGCCCAACAAATCCATACTGATCCAGCACTGAATTCTCAGATAAATACATGCCAATAACAAGGAAAAACAATTTTTCAGCTAATCAAAGGAGGGCTTACGATTTCAACTTCCTCCTCCTTTTCCCCGACATTATGCGAACTGAATTATCCAACGAAGTTGCTCTCAAGACAAGAGAGAAAGAGAACGCCAAGAGAGAGGGTAAAGACTCAAGACCTGGGACTGCACGGAGAAGGCATGTATTAAGAAGTGAGAGAAATGACGGTACCACGTGCGAACTTGGGCTGGATTTGGGGGTATGTGTTGTGAGATTTTCTAAAATATCGGCCGGTTGATTTGCAATGCACCCGCCTTAGGCTAATGGATTTGTAATGCCCCACTTCGTCGAAAGCTCAAAAAATATGAAGAATTAACAGGTGAGATGCTTAATTAATTTTCTATTTTGTAAAAAGTATATTTCTTAGTTATTTTATTTCTCTTTTGTGAGAAAAGTGTAAACCTTTAGATTTCTAAAAAGTCAGAACTTTGTGAATATAACAAGACGGAAATTAGCTAATGACTTGTGCTTGGCATGTTATGAAAAATGAAAATGCCCCACATCCACATGAAGAATTGTTAATTTACCTATATATCCACATAAAATATGAAATTTATTAGAAGTCATATAATTCATAATCATAATCATAAACTATATACTCCTCCGGTCCTAATTATAAGACCCAATTGACTTATTTGAGGAGATTAAGGAAGTAAGTTAAGTTGGTTATTTATAATAAATAAGTGTTGTCATTCCTAAAATATCCTTGCTAATTAAGTATATTGGCTAAAACTATCATTATTAGAAGGATTATCTTGGAAAAAAATGCATAAATATAAGAGACAAAATGGATTGGGGTCTTATAATTAGGACCAAATAAAAAGTCAAATGGGGTCTTATAATAAGGACCGGAGGAGTAAAATCCTTAACCTAGTTAATATCCATCAGCCATAAATAAATTTTAAAAGATTTTAAAAACACTTCTCATACATGAAGGGACTTGCGATGAATTGAAACGTTGCCATCTCTTACGCAGTAAGAAATGACAAAATTTGGCGAAGATGACATCTACTGCAACATCGGGTTTCTATCATGACAATTGTTGAATAATTTTCTTCAGTAACATCCTCTCTCTACCAAAGCTTCAGTTGTAATGATCATTTCTAGGGTTGAGGTTCAAAGACGGAGCTGAGCCGTGGCACTCTATTTGCCCCGTCGTTTCTGCTGTCCATAGGGAAGACATGATCAAATGTGAATCCATATTTTGGCCTGTTACTTGATGCCTTTTGGGTTCAATTTTTTGCTTTTCAAACTGAGCTCCTATTTCAATTTTGACCGCGTTGACTAATTTTGTCCATCCCTTGGTGGCCGCAGAGGTTGATTTTGGTGGTGGCCAATAGCACACATTGCAATGGAAAGCAGGATGAGCAAGTTCTTTTTTCCCCCTCCTTTGGTTTTATTTTCAAAGGGAACTTTTCATAATATAAATACACATGTCAAATTAAGATTACACAGTAATTTTACGTGGATGTCAGATAACATAACGTATTTTTGAAATTCTATTTCCACATCCTTCAAAAACTCTTTCAACATGTCCCATAGCTTGGAAATTGCTGCTCATATAGAAAATAACCCATTCAGAGGCTACAAACGGGCATCGCCAAGGGACAAGGAATGCTTTGGTGAATTACTCATAAAGATGCTATTAGTCTTTCAATGTAATAAGTAATAGTCATGTACAATATTGAAAAGTAATTGGAGGACTACCAATATTAAAAATAATTGAATAAAATTGTTCTTGTGTCCAAAAAAAAGAAACAAAAAAAAGAAAAAAGTATTGTAGAAGACACAGATCCACTGTCCAACAAATATGACAGCCCCACATCCTAACTGCCAATTCATTCATGAAGATCAAAAGCAAGAGAAAAGAACACAATCAAGGATTCATGTTTGACTACTACTCCTGAAGAAGGCGGCGCACAGCTAGCATCACTTGTTGAAGTTTTCATCCTGACATGGCCATTCTTTCATTTAAAACAAAACAAAGAAAACTTCATGGAATTATCATCAGTGTTAAGGAACAAATGATATTAGGCTCCACATCCAAGCCAGAAAACAAACGAAGCCAATGCATGTCAATAACACAAGTGAAAGAGGGAATCTGTCTGCCATTTTGAGGTATTTCAATTTCGATGTGTTAAAAATGAGTAGGCATACTCCAAACAAAATGTCGCAAGTGTAAATTTTGAATTAGATTAGAAAAGGAGCAACTCGTGTCCCCTGATACAAGCCGAATGATAGAAAGAATCAACAAACAACGTGGGGGCCTAAAACACGCTTTAGAACCCTACCCTAGTTTAACACATAACTTAGAAATTGCTACAAACCGAACACCATTCTTGGTCTGTATCTTCCTAGAGATTAAAGGGAGCAAACAATAACACAAAAAAGTCAAACTTTTTTCTACCCAAGATATCCCTTATTAAATGAACAACATATAGGGCACTGAATTAACCCGTTCTCATTACACTGACCACATTTCACTGTCTTCTGGTGTTCTGTATCCAGGATCTTGCAGCTTCCATTGCATTTCACACACATCACAAACCTCACATCACCACACCCTTCACACCCATTTGTTGCCCTTGGAATCCCCTCAAACAGGACACCCAATTTCTCTTCGTCTTCTAACTTCACCACTTCATCAACTCCTCCTATTAGCCTTCCCTTCACGAACACCACTGGGACTTTTACTCCTTTCGTTCCCATTAGCTGTCTTAATTCCTCTTTGAATCCTGCGTCCATAGATATATCGCGCTCGATGATGCGAATGTCGTGGGACTCGAGGATCAATCGAACTTTATTGCAGTCTTCAAACGTCTTTCTAATGCCTCGCAACGTCGTCGTGTAGATTACTACGGAGTTTTCTCCTCCTGGAGGGCTTATTTTCTCGAATGTCAGAAGAACAGATTCCGAGTCCTGAGACTTTCTGGACCTCCGGCCTTTGGGTGTTGCCCAGACCATTCTCTTTATTTGTTCTTCCTCTTCGGAGAGTTCTTTCTCGTAAGTTGCAAGAAGCTCTGGGTCAAACAGGGGAGTAGGGCTCCTCTTTCGAGATGAATGCCCAGGATCACTGCCAAAACTACTCCTTGAGGCACAAATCGGAGACCCCTTCACTGGAATATTCGAATTAAGGAGTGGCTTGCTTGACTTGGGAGAAAAATTACTTGATTTGAGAATCCCTTTCGGGCTATAATCTAGGCGTCTCATGCCGCCTCTGACCACATTGCCTTGAACTTTATTCTCCTTGCCCCCAAACTTCTTCACAGTCTTGGGAGACCCAAATTGATTCAATAACTTAAAAGGACTTCTCGCATCAGGACCAATAAAGCCGCGAAGAAAAGGACTAGGTTTTGGGCTTTTCTTAGCTTGATTTGGAACGGGAACACCATCTTCAAGGCCTTCCATGAGTTCCCAAGCATTGATGACCTCTAGGTCTTCGCGAGGAGGCGATTTCTCAAGCCTCTTAGAATCTGCAACACACTCCACGACGGATTGCTCGCTGTCCAACTTGAGCGCTCCATAGGTGGATGAAGTAAGAGAAACCACATGATTCACGTAGTCGCCGCCATTGGCGTTGATGAAGACTTCTTGCCTGAGGTCTTTCCTCAGGAGTTTTGAGGAAACACAACCCATCAGAGAGTGGGGGTGATGTCTAATCCTCTCGTCTGGTCGAAGGCCAGGGATTTTTGAAGGAGTGATGGCAACGGGTCTGGAAGTTTTTTTTTTCCGCAATCCGACCGTTACTTGTCCGCAACTGACCCCAACGGTCCGAAAATTCGAATCGACTTTGTAGGGAAGTGTAGTTTGTCCTTGTAATTTGTGAATGTAATGACGGGTTTTTGTTGGAAGCCTCAGCTTCACCCGCTTTTCAGAATCAGAGCACGTTGTTTTTTTAAAAAAAAAAAAATGGAAGTTGTCCCCACCCTCTTCAAATTTCGTCTTGCTGCCTATCGGCAAATAGCTCGATGTAAATGGCGCTTCTGCAGTGCAGGGCCCGTTTGCACTTGATGTTGTTTGTTTCTTTCTGCAAGCCCAGTTTAAGATGCTAATGCAAAAAAGACAAGCACAGGTTTTTTTTTTTTTAATAAAATAGCTCTCCGCATATAATCATCTATATTAACGCCGTCATAATTTTGGATGAACGCATGAGATGAGGATTTATTCCGCGAGTCTGTGCACGAGGATGGGCTTAGAGACTATTGGAGGTCAGGGGCCCAATCTTATTTCACTGCCCGTGCTGTGGACCCAAAGGGGGCCCACAAGATGGCCATTCACCAGAAGAGCCCTGTTATCCGGCCGACATGAAAAACAAAAGAAGGATGGAGATGGACGACTACGAGACAGGCTTGCGCTGATGCGTAGCTTTCCATTTGCTGTCGATCTTGTTCATATCAAGCCTTTTTTTGGGGGGAAATGTTCACTTATATATACATATATTTGTGTTTTTTCCGTGAAATGTAATGAGCGTGAGCGATTATTGATTAGCGCTCGCAATTAGTTTGTGAATTTGTTGGGTGTCTGCAAATTATAAACTTCATTATGACAAATAACACAGGCCCCAGAAAAAAAATTATGACACGTAACACATGCGCTTCCCAAAAGCCAAATTTCCTTCGCCTTAAAATAATTAATGAATATTGCAAAAACTTGGATCACGAGATTTCCTCCCTGCCATCTTGTATATATGTACGATGGTTTCGTCTGGCCGCCGATCTCCATGCACTACTCATTCAGATGCTCTCCCTCGGCATTACTCCACATTATTTTATAGCTACTTCCAGCATCATATATATTATATTTGATCCATTTCGAATTATTCAATAGCGCAAAATTAAATATTATAGCATCAATTAAGTGACCCCTCAGTTTGATCTGATGGCAAAAAAAAAAATCCTCAGTTTAATCACCACTTTTTAATTTTAATGCTCACGAAGTCGCCATCTCTCATCACGTTCGCGTTACAAGTTAATTTTATCAATCTAAATATAAAACTCCAATCCACTTTATCTTTCATATTTATTTATTTTTTTAAAAAATAGTTTTTGTAATAGTTACACGTGTTAAATGTTCTATTAAATAATAATTTTAGCTAATATACATATTAAGAAAGATAACACTTATTTATTACAAATAACTAATTTAAATAATTTTTAAAATCTCTTTAAATTAGTCAATTAGGTTTTATATCAAGGTTTGGCAAAAAAAAAAAGATTTCTGGACCCAAAAAAAAAACGTTTAACTACATCGCGCTCAATGATCTCAAGCCGCTGTTCGCGTGGAAGTTCCGCGTTAGGTTAGGGGAAAACGTTTCAAGAATAGAACATTAAAATCAGTAGGACTTTTAATTAATTGGGTTTATGACCGCGTTATTGCTACCGGAATTCGGTGTACGAATATGATTAATTTGTTGCACCTAACTTCACTAGTCTCTTTTGATTTTTTTGTCCACTGTAGCTCCTAACTACCTAACCTGGAAATTTTTAATTTAATTCTTCATTTAATAATTGTGTCATTGTCTCGTTTAATGTTTATTTCAACGTTTCCACGACAAATTTTATTTAAAAAAATTGTATATTCTCAGTTTATTCGCAAAACTACCTAAAACATCTGGGTTAAGCACAAAAACTGGAGATAGTATAAGGGATGCTTAGCTGTTGAGACTTGAGGTGCCGTGTGCATCTCCGTTGCTTATCGCGGTGGGTTCAATCGGGAAGCCCGCGGCATTAAGATTCGTTTATATTACTCCTCCGGTCCTAATTATAAGACCCAATTGATTTATTTGAGGAGATTAAGGAAGTAAGTTAAGTTGGTTATTTATAATAAATAAGTGTTGTCATTCCTAAAATATCCTTGCTAATTAAGTATATTGACTAAAACTATCATTATTAGAAGGATTATCTTGGAAAAAAATGTATAAATATAAGAGAGAAAATGGATTGGGTCTTATAATTAGGACCAAATAAAAAGTCAAATTGGGTCTTATAATAAGGACCGGAGGAGTACTTTTCAAGGGATATTCCAGTCATATTTCTTTACTACTCCTCCGGTCCTAATTATAAGACCCAATTGATTTATTTGAAGAGATTAAGGAAGTAAGTTAAGTTGGTTATTTATAATAAATAAGTGTTGTCATTCCTAAAATATCCTTGCTAATTAAGTATATTGACTAAAACTATCATTATTAGAAGGATTATCTTAAAAAAAATGCATAAATATAAGAGACAAAATGGATTAGGGTCTTATAATTAGGACCAAATAAAAAGTCAAATGGAGTTTTATAATAAGGACAGGAGGAGTATTTAGCATGTTAATAATAAGATGCGTAGTGTAGCTTAGACTTTCACAAGACCTCACCTCTTTTTATAATGGACAACGTGTCAAAAAAGAACAAAAGATCAATCCAAACAAATGATTTCTCCGAGACTATGCATGATCATGTCCTTGTTGACATGTTATCACTAATAACATTTGGATTTATTATTGCAATTAATGCATATTATTTTTGATCCATACAGCTCTATTGAGATATTAAATATTACCTCCAATTCTAAATATAAAATTTAATTTATAATACAAATTGCATTACAAACTACATTCTATATGTAGAAATGAATATAGTATTTTAATTTATAACAGTCATTATATACTCAACGCATGGAATTAATACATGTAAGCTTCAACTCAACAAGCATTTTATGAATACGTAATGAATGAACCTCATATGACAGGCATATTTTTAGGTCAGCTTTGGTCTCTATGTAACCCTACCTGACCAATAGAAATCCAAGTTGTTAATGAGCAAGCAGTGGGGCCGGGGAAGAGGCCCCCTCCCCAAAAGTGAAAAAGCCGTGGAGAAACAGAGATAAAACTTGCAAGCTGCCAGCAGAGGCCCTCTAAACGCTGCGTTTTTCTCATGTTCTTCGTATTCTTTTGACGGAACAAAAAGATTGTTTACTTTCTCCTTGTCTTTGTAGAAAGTAGAAACTAGAAAAGTGGGTGTGGGAGTGGCGTTCCGGAGAAAACAAAATCAGCGTGAGGGCACCGGTCAACAAGTTGAACACGCCGCCCCTCCCGCTCCCTCCTTCATATAATAAACTATTAAATATCTCTTTTTCTCTCATCCGCCCGCTTTCCAAGTTCTTCCATTACTACCTACTCCTGCAAAATACCTCCTTGCTCTTTATTTCTCCTCTTTCATATTTTCTTCCTTGCAGGACTCGTAAGCCTTCTGCTTCTGCGCTTCCCCACTACGATGCCACAGGTCGAAACATTGGTCTCTACGTGTGCCGGCGATCGCAAAATTGCTTGCGAGACTCTCGCCGACGGTGATAGCCACCAGACGGAAGAAGCGGATCGGCCGAAGGTCAACCCTGATTCCCCGCCTGAGTCCTTCTGGCTCTCTAGGGACGAAGAATTGGACTGGTGGGACCGTAATGCTGTCTACGAGCGAAAGGAATCCACTAAGGGTAGCACCTCCAATTCCGCCAATTTGAACCCCAGCTTGAAATCCAAGTCTCAGCGCGTTTGTTTGAAGTCCAAGGCCTCCATTATTGGCCTGCCAAAGCCTCAGAAACCTTCATTTGGGGACGTCAAGAGTCGTCGAAACCACAAGCCGGGGAACACGAGACTGTTCCCCAAACGGAGTGCGTCGGTGGGAAAATCGGAATCCTCGGTGAACGAACCATCGTCGCCGAAGGTTTCGTGTATGGGGAGAGTGAGATCGAGGAGGGATCGAAATCGCAGGTTGAGAAGTCGCCAAAGGACCTCTGACTCTGGACCTGCTAAAGAAAAATTAATGCGCAGCAAAAGCAGAAACCGGAAGACAGGGTTCTTTGAAAGTTTTCGAGCTATTTTCAGGTCCCGCCGCCGAGGAAACGAGGTCCAGAAAGCCGATCTTCCGCTAGAAGATTCTCCCCCAAGAAAGAGCCGGGCCACGCCGGGGCGGCATAGCACAGCTAGCGATATCGACGCATCTTTCGCTGAGTCGACCCCGAGAAATAGCGTAACGGAGAGTGAACCCCCCGGTTTAGGTGGGATGAAGCGGTTCGCATCTGGAAGGCGGGCCGGCGCGTGGGGGGTAGTCGATCCTGAGATCCACGTGCCGCAATAGGCGTCAGCGGAGCGGTTCGGCGACGGCGCTCCTCGTGAGCTTGCATATTTGAATTCTAACCGGCATTTTGGGAATCGCCGCTGCTTGTGCTGGTGACAGATGACGTGGCGCGTCGAGAACGGTCTCAACAGTGCCCATATACTTCTGCTTTTACTGTGATTGATCCTTTTTCTTTCTCTGCTCTTTAAAGCGTCCTAACAATTTGTAAATAGATTCCTGAGTGCTTTCCCTTTCCGCCAAGATCATACGTGTGTGTTTTTTTAATAAGTGAGCAGTTGTAAAATTCATATTAGTGCATCCGAGCGTGTAAATTTTCTCCCTCCTTTTGTTTGGATAAGATAAAAGAACTCAGAAACATTGATGATCATGAGAAGTGTTATAGCCAAAACCTGAATGATAAGATAAATATATACAGTATTTTTGCCTTACCAAACTCATCATGCTTTTCTTGAACTAATCTTCCATGAGATCTTAGAATGATTAAAAATACTATATATGTGTGATTTCTATCATAGATTGCGTCTTGAAATGGTGTTGATTGGGTTGGGAATGGTTGGGGGTCCCTGCATTCTCCTTTCTCCTCCTACTCAATTTTCATGTCACAATTAAGGGGTGCCTGGTGTCAATCTCTTTCGATTCGATGGAACCCAGAATATATGAATAGATTTATATGAAGTTTACATGAATATAAAATTTCAAAAGGCCTACAGTAGTTAGGTAACAATGTAACATCGAGACAGACATGGTTGTTTGAGGCATGATTTATCGTGATATAACTCATTCGACAGCTTCCATAAAAGGTTTAAAATCCCGATTGCAAATAGGGATATGATATCTTTTCTTATCCCAGATATGAAGTTTTTATAATCCGAATCTGTGTCAAAGACGATCAATACCCTACCCAACTCTAGATTTTTCTTTAGTATGAAAAAAGAAATAAAACGAAAAATGTAACGGAAAAACACAGTTGGAAATAAGAAGGCGAGGATAGGGAGACGGAATCCCTATCCTATGTATGAATATTACGAGCTAGGCCGCAGCCAGAACTTGCCCGTATTATGAAAATTGCATGTTTAACATATTTGGTTCAGAAAACCAACCCATTCTCCAAAATTATGTTGTTTGGTTGCTTATAATATCAACCCATTTTTGAAAATCAGAGAGATGTATTTTGAAGTGATAATTATTATCATAACATAATCTATACGATATCATAGCCAGGAAGTGAAAGTTCAAGATTAGTAGCTGGAGTACCTCGAGCCGAGTAATTGTGAGAGCATTCAAAGTTCATAATAAAAGGATTAAAGCTAAGACAGTCTACTACTTAACAGGGGAAGCAATAGGGAGCCATGTTAAGCTTGAACTGTGTACTTGAGAATTTTGCGGCCATCGAGGGGCTGGACAGGCCGTGCATTGTTCTTGAACTGAGGACTCAGAGGTGCCTTGAGAAGATGGACCTGTTGAATGGAGATTGACCTCATCTTGCCCAGAATGGTCCACGTCACGATCTCTTTGCATGGAGGAGTGGTCAGAGAACCCATATATCTGTAATAGCTTCGAGCCCTTAACTTCACATGCCTTGCATTAAAGGTTCCAAGATCAATATGGGCACCCTCGTAGCCTGCTGAACTCTCATTCGCCAACTCAACTAGCTTCTTCTCCATCTGCGCCCAGACTGCAACCTCAAATTGAAATCATAGTGATTCAAATTCTGTGGTTGATGTAAGCCAGCTTACCTTGGAGATGATAGGATCTGAATCACCCAATTTATACAGCACTCCCACAACTGCAAAGCTTCCTTCTTCGTTCTGGTGTACTAGATGCAGTTCCGCCTCCATTCTGAACTCACAACATTAATCCATCATCTTCATTTTTCCCCGTTCTAATTTCTAATTGCTTTCTGAATCATGAAGCGGGAATTAGCCTTGAAAGAGGAAAGAAGAGAAGGAACTTACTGCTTCCCACTAACTCGGTGCTCTGAAGGAGAATGCCAATGCATCTGTTTCAGGTAAAAATCTTGACCATCTATTCTCAAATTACCCACTTTCCCTTCAAAATGAACCTACACATGCATAATAGTAGTATAATTACTTTATTATTGCTTGACAATGATTCGGGCATGGTGGTTGAATCAGGAATAAAAGCGAAACGTTAGTTGAGTAACAGACCCCAATGTTGAATCCGTTGTTAACTAGTGAGGCGTTTGAACAATGATAGTGTCGTTCCAAGGGCTTCAATTGCTTACTGTACACGATATTCTCCTTCCTAAGGTCCACAGGGGACTGAGCTTTCCCTTCTGAGCAAGCTGAGAAACTTGGACTTAAGCTGCCCCATTTCTGAGGACCATTTGCACCATAATAGCCAAAATTAACCGGGTCTGGTGCTCCACAAAGATGTTCAATCATCAAACAACACATCATGAACTCATACCAACACAAAGAATTTGATGAACTCTGCATCATTTAAAATTTTAAACCATGAAAAAAAAAACCAGACCTCTGTTCTAATTCATAAAATCCACAGGATGCTGGACACAGAAACTATAGCATCCAAATCATTTGTAAAACTGATCGCTAGGAAGAACAAATTCCTAGCAGAAGCTGTAGAGGTGAACTCATCAAAGCAACACTAGATAGAAGCAAACAAAAAACTGCTTATGCTGGAAAAACAGACCAGCCATATCACAGAACCAACATAAGTGGAACTCTATGGGGAGAAATCGTTCGATCTTTACCTGCGGAAGTACAAAGAGCGAGCAATGCAAAGGAAAGGATTAAGAAGAAAATCCTCATGGCCATTGTTGATAGGTTCGAATGGATGGGGATGGCTATGTCGTGTGTTACTCTTTTGATTAGCTTATAGACGAAGACACTCGCATTTTCTCCTGTACGTACTTCTTGTTGCAGGCACTGCTAGTCACAACTGTTCGATGTTGTGATCGGAGCAGCTAAACGGTATATATCTATAGAATTACATTTTCGCAGATACATAGTTTCTTGAGGGGCTGTAATCTTGAGAAGTCATATTCATGACTTTGAAAAATTTTTCACTACAAAATTTATTAAAATTAAAGTAATTAGACAGCAAACTTATCCCTTAAAAAAATTATTCTATTACAAACAGATGTACAGTAATAAAATGCACCGAACATTTTAGTACGTGGAGACAAAACTTACTTTCGTTTTATACAGCCTCCCGCACGATCCATGTTTCGTGATTCACGTTCCTTGTGCGTCTGCCACTTTGGGTGAGAGAGATTGGCATATGCTCGTTCGTGATCAGATGTCACTTTAAGAGGCTACGAGGGATTGACCAAACAGCACTTTAAAGTTTGTGCCGAAAGGCAATTATTCTTTCAAATAAATAATAATAATACGTGAACAATAGTATCTATTTATCTTCAGAGCTAAAAACAAATCAGTGAGCATATAATTCTATGGCATAAATATTTTTTCGTAAGCAAGACATGTTCGATTCTACTTGTAATCCTAAATTATTAGTATCTGTCCTTTTAATTTAAATAAAAAACAGGTAAAAGCACCTAGGATTAGAACTCCAGTAAATTTTATGTTGGTTTTGGCTGTTATGTATAGCCAAAGCCATATATGACTTTCAAAAATTAATCTTAGTGAAGAAAAATAGAAGCCACCAAAGGATTTGAAAGTGAGCAAGATTTAGGCTCAATAATAGGAACTATCACCTGTACAAGGAGGCCCACATACAATTTCTTCCTCCCAATCAAATGCCTCCTTGCTCTGCTCTGTCCACATGATTTGCTTCCCATCTCATATGGATGGAAGCGTATCAATCTCTATTTTTAATGCCTATAAAACAGAGCTCAAGCCCTCCAAATATATTTTAAAAAGAGAGAAAGAAAAATTGTATCACTCTTTTGCATCATGATCATTTAATAATGGAGAGAGTTACAGTAAGGTTTTAAAAAAAATAATTACCAAATAAATCTCAAAAGTTATCATTTTCTATTCTGAAACTTGTCATTATAGGTTGTTTAGGTTATTATTGAAACTTTTTAATAATTATTTTTCTTTCTCCGGACCTCACTATAATTTTTTGTTAAAAATATGTGGATGTATGACTATATATGGGGAAAAAACTAGATTTTGAACTTTCATTCCGTTCAAAAAACAGTGACTATTATCTCTTCCCTTTCGATTACCCAAAAAGATATGTATATAGTACACGTAAATGCAGAGCGACAAAGAGTTTTGCACAGTTTTTTTAAATTGGAGAGGGAGATATCTAATCATGCTAAACAAATATCGTATGTAACATGTTCAAGCTGCATCATCATTATTATTATTATTATTATTATTATTATTATTATTATTATTATTATTAAGAACAACTTAGATTGTCATGTAGTGCTTCTCAAATATCGTGTCATGAACAGGAATCCTCCCTGACACATTCTCTCACAGAACTTGTTGAGTTTTGAAATGGCATTACGACAGTCGAGTTGATTAATTTTGATGACCGGGCTTGAGAAGTTCAAGTATTTTGTTGCCAACTGATTAAAAACTGTGGGGTTTAAGACAATATTATTATTTAGTTACTGAACATAACTTATCAAACATCGGTTGCCATAAACGGAACGGGTCGGTCTTAAGCAAACCATGCAGGACATAATGTGCAATGTGGCAAATGGAGATTGCCAAATGGTCCCCTCCCATAACTGAAAAGCAAAAGCAAGTATTGTTCTCTGCAATTTAGTTAGAAAAAATTGAAGGGGAAAAAAATCTGAACGATCCAAATCTCATCTTGGTAATTCAGCTGTAAAGTGTTCCTGAAGCATATCCTGCTCTCTACAATTCAAGATGTCCACGGAATTTGGGAGATGATGGAAATGGAGGTCAACTTCGTCTTCTCTATTCAACCCCCAAAGACAATATTCTTCAGTCCCCACTTCCAACATTGTAAGGATCACACAGCAGAATAATTTGGGTTCTTTTTTTTTTTCATTATTGCATATGAAGAAGGGGATTGGAGAACGCAGAAAAAGAGAGACAAGGAAAGAAGAAAATCAAGTTTTCGAGCTTTAAAGTTTAAAAGCGATGCCTTCCTACTTAAAGACAGAGTCCAGATTATTGACGCAGCACCCAGTAGCTTCTTAATGGAATCTTGATTTAATTTTAGTACGAGGCTTTACTTATTTAGTTATCCTTATTAAATTTGCTTCTTGAGTGAAGTTGTATAGGTCCATTAATTTGTTAACATGATGCTAAGGCGGAACACGGACCAGAGCAGGTCGGAAATGTCATTAGAACGTGGTCTCGCGCACACATCTGATTGACCCTTGTAGCCATGCATTAAACGTAAATTAAGGTAAGCCAGCAAACCCATATCAGATTGAATCATAAAGCTTAATCCAGCAGGCCACATATAATTTTCAAGGGGCATAGCTCTTGCTCGCAGAGAACATTTAAAAAACAATCATCATTTAGGCATCTATGTTTGGATTATGTAAAGAAGTAAAGACACAAAAAATCTACACTGTAAACACAAAACTATTCTCCTTTTACAACTTATGCACTTCTTCAAGAGGTATCAAAATATATAATCATCCTCCCCATAACTAACTGTCTTTTCTTTCCATATGCAATTCAAAACGTTGTTTCAAAAGTAGTATGAAACTATCAAACTATCAAACTTCAACTAAATGCCGTTCGTTCGTTCTATTATCTCCAAAAGGTATTAAGAACAGATAAAACCTATTGAATAATAACAAAAAATAAATAATACAGATTTTTCCTTCTCCCTTCGGCTTTTCCCATTCCTTCAACAAACCAAACAAGCCCTAGAGTAATCCCGCTGTCAGTCAACAAAGTGAAAGCCTCCAATTTTGACAATTTGTCTTGATCGAGCTACATGACTTCACGTTCATGAGCCTCTGCAAACATGATTTACTGAAGAGCATAAGTTGCTCTTAGATACTCTATAATCTCTGCACTCTCATACATTCCTATCCCAGTGTTCGGATCATCCAAATAGGGCACCTGCAGCCAACCATAAGGATCAAAAAGTCATGCTATACATTAACCAAATGTGATAAAAAAATCATGTCTCCAGGTCAGCAAATCTATATTGTGAGCGTGCTTATGAACATGAGAAACTTATTAACAGAATAAATAAGTACCTGGAAATGCCCAGTCTTTTCTAATAGTATCTGTCGTTTTGGGCTACCTCGAGAACAACTGAAATGAAATGAAAAAAATTAATTGCATGGAAAACCGAGACTGTATGCAGACCACCACGTAAGACTCTATTAATATTGCCAATCACGAATGAAGATTTGCGTCTTTTCTATCTCATTGCAGAGAAGTGCATGTATGATATAACCATGACCATGATTTTTAATTCAGGAAATCAATATATGATCCATCAGCAATATAGTGGTCAAATATATTTAAGATGGTGGTCGCGTAAAATATACGAAATGAGTTAATATTATAAAACAACCATAATAAATTTTCTTTCCGGGCATCAGATCTAACAGTCAGTTTTGGAACAGGGAAATTACGTGATTTGTATGTGGGGCAGCTCCAACTCTACAAGTACTTCACGCACAAGTTTGCAGAAAGGTGAACCCTGAAAGAAACAAAGCATTTCAAATTTCAAATATTGGTCCTATGATCACAAACCATAAAGGACAAATCAGATGAAGATGCATTTCCATTCACGTCAATCAAAAATTCAGTTTTGTGAAGTTTATATTGAGTTGAGCACTACGATGCCTTGATCCGTATGAATTTAGTTTTATGGTCTACCAACCTCGTATGCCCATAGTTTTAGTGGCTCTGGAGGTAATATTGCAGGAGTATAAGAGCTACCCTGAAAATAAAAATCAAGTAGTTAAAAGTGATTTTTGTACCGATGAAAGTGAAATATCAATAATCAATAATATCTTTAAAAAATAAAATTCATGAAACTAATAAACTTTCTAAAAAGCATCCAACAATCTGCCAGCCAGCCAGCCAGTTGAAATTTGCAAGTAGTTCCCCGAGAAATTATAGAAAGGTGCTGCTTTATTTTCTTTTTCTTTCTTTTTTCAAAAAAAGGCAAAGAAAAGAAACTGTCAGTTAATTTCGCACTAAAAAATGAATGGCGAGTAGAAAACCATATACCTTTCCCCTGCGACCAAGCATACCTAAGCCAGCAGTAAGTGTCTGCATCAAGCAGATAGTGTTTATTACTAACATGGCCCATATGATTTAAATTATGAGTGATAATAGAGCCTGATTCTAACCGTAAATAATCCAAGAGATAAAGTGAGTGGAATACTTCCATCTCCTGCATAGCAGAAAAAGAATATTTAACAGGCTGCCATATAGCAAGGTGGTTCAGAGGTAAGGAAAAGAGAAAATCGTCAGACTTGGCAATATTTATGCTTAGGTGATCGAATTCACAGTTTTGAATTATCTTTGATATAAAACCAACGGCACTAATCTCTTCTTATTGTGATTGGTGGGGAACAAACTACATCAGCATATGATAGAGACAAGAGTAAATAGGACGACACAAACCGTATTTCTCAGCCAAGTATTTGATTATCCCATCTGATTCATACATTGAAACGCCTGTGTTTGGATCCACCTGAAACAAAGATACACAAAAACAGCAATTATCTCTCAAAAACACGCAGAGAATTATCACAGGGCTGACATGTCAAGTGCATACATAACTACTAAAATTGCTACATAAAAAGCTCCTGGAGGCCATAGACAAGAAGAAGCTTTTTGTTTTCTGGAAACAAGAAGAAAACAATTACTGCAACATTAGATGGTTCAGTATCGTTTATTTATTTATTTTTTTTAAGTCATAACCAGATGCATGTGAGCAGAATATAAATAGTAATTAAGACATTAAGAAATTTTCCCAATGTAGCAGTAGCAACTTCGAAGATCCACCTGATACAGAACCTCATTCTGTTATAAATCTATCTTTATAATTTCAAATGCTAACATTCTGAGTCTATTTGCAAGAAAAATAGAAAATGTAAGATGCTAGAGTGGCATGTGAAAAACAGAGACCTAATTTTTACATACACTTCAGCAGAGTAGGTTAATAAGTTTATTTTCTTTTAGTTAGAAAACGTTTTTAAAAAAAACACAATAAGAAGTTTCAGATTTCCTTTTTTGGTTTGCTTTTGGCTTAGAGGAATCAATCTAACCATGTAGGGGAATTGCTGTTTTCCACCCATCTGAGCAACCTTCGGGCGAAAATTGGGTCCATTTCTAGGACATGGATAGAAAAGAACATCAATGTCCAAAATAGCGACAAATTCTCTGACCTGTGCATGATCAAAATGTTAGTCCAGCCAACACCAAAAAAAAAAAAAGTCCTGTATACGATACCAGAAGTATTCCAACCAAATCTGAAGATTCAATTTTTCCATAGATCTTAATGATTCCCAACTCCACCACCCAAAAAAATAAGTAACGAAGGAAAAGACCTAGCGTGAATCCTCCAAGACTAAAATCCATACCTTTCGGCAAAATGGACAGCTGCACATGATCCATGATAGCCCATAAATTAGAAGGAAAGACAATATAATGATTGTTAGTTTATTCCTTGAAGAGGTATGTGAAGATAAACATAAGCCAAACAGAAAGGAAGTGACTGACATTTTCTTTGGAATAAAGAGGAAGAAAAAGGAGTTAGATAGTCCCACGCATTCTAACATGTGCTTGTAATTTAGAATATTTGACAGGAAAAATGAAATACCTCTCAAATTCATATATCTCTATAGGCTTCTCTGGGCGAGGGCCTAACTTCGCTGTTTCTTTTACCTTGTACCCTGAAATCATACGCCTCGGGTTAAGATTCAAAAGAGGAAAAAAAAAAAAAAAAAACACAGTGGTGAAAACACTTTGAACTGTAAAATTTGCATTTTCGGAAATTATTCCAAAATGCATAAGTGGTTATTTAAGCCAAGACACAAACTTGGAAACGTAGAGGCTCATTTCTAGTTCTTCACAATCGTCAGCTTGACATGCAAACCTGTTACTAACCCTGGTCCTAATTATAAGACCCTGTTGTAGTACATTTTCTTCATCTTTCTGATTAACATCAGCAAGCATACAACGTATTTAATGACAATATGCTATCATAAGCCACTAAAAAATATTAAACTTCAAAGAACGCGGGGTATACCAGAAACTTCCAAAGCATACTGATCAGGTGGAAATTCATCCTTAGGAATGAAGGAAAAAGAATACCTGTCACGACACAGCACAAGCTCAAGAAATTCAGAATTCAGCCGCTGTATAAATCTACATTCCAGACAACTTGTGTAAGATGCAGTGCTTTTGAGAAATGACCCCCTTTCAAGATTTTTATCTTCTATCAGATATTTTATATGTTGACTCCTACTTGGAGAAAAAGTGATTCTGAAAATAACATCTAAAATCATCATTCTAAGCCAAGCAATAACGACCAATGCTTCTTAATAGGCCCTAAAGAGTTACAAAAATTTGTTGAGCCAAAGCAGAAAAAGGTCAGAAAACCTATTACTATGCCAGCTATAGCTAGCATTTGAACCTTCTCATCCTCGGGTTTGCTAATATTCGAAATTGACCTCGAATTTCCAGTGCCATAAGCGCTAATTGAAGGTTCAGTGGGGATGAAACTGGGAACAGAACATATGGCAGAACATATTTGCTTACCCAGAAGCGAAAACTCCAGTACCAAAGCGAAGGAACAAGGGAAGCGCAGCTCCAAACACGTCATTAGTCTTGTCAGGTCTCACGCCAAAGCGCTGAGGCTCAGGAGGCTTGAAATTGGGTGGAGGAGCAAACGTGGACGATGAGGCCGGAGAATCCGGTTTCGGGTCTTCTGTCGTGCTCACAGAAGCGGAAGTGGACGGAGTGGTTTCCGAAGTCGCTCTAATGGATACCGTGCTACGGGTTACTCTTTTAGGCAATGAAAGAGACCCAAAAACCGAGAATTGCGAGAGAGTTAGAGCTCCGGCCATGACTCCGGGACCGGGACGCCAAGGGTTTCTGCCAACAGATTGGAGTTGCTGGAGCTGTGTACCAATGACAAAGTATGCTCTCTGAGTTCACGGTGAGAGTCGATAGGCAAGGACCGCAAGGTACAAGACTGGGGCCGGAGCTTCCAGTTGCCAGAATCACAATCAATAAACTAAAATATCTATTTTGGAGCCAACTGAAAGTACCGATTAACGTCACCTAAGAGCTTTTGCCTCCCCAGTCCCCACCACTCCATATGATATCATAAAGTCACCAAGAAGTTGGCTAGTTTTTCTACAGTAATGTAAGAAGAAAACGTGAAAATCATTTTTTGGGTGTTAAAGAGGGAAAATCAAGCATCACCGACCCAAAGAAAACTTCGGTTCGGGCTAGAAGTTGGGCTGGGCCAGAAATTGGATGCCGGGGTATTATGGGTCAGTCCATAATCAATTTTGACGTGTTATTTTATATCAAATGACAATCAAACTGTGCTAGTGAAACCAGCTCGCGATAATTGGGTTAAGAGGCAAGGGATTAAATATTCATTAAGCAAGTTCTTCTTCCTTTTTCAATGGAAGTAGTTCTTTTCTTAGCGATGAAGTTAAGACCAACTGCACTATTGAATTATGGTATGGGAGACACAATATCTCACGTTTTGTAATCTATCTATATATGAAATCATGATGCAGTATTAAATTAAATAATAAACCTTTGTAGTCAAAAGATAATCATATCCTAAATCAAGTAGGAGCACTTTGAGCTCAAACTTTATGAATTGAATCTTTAACGGCTTCCTATACCCTAAAAAATTTATAGGTGTTTGCGCATCAACATGCTACTTCATTTCGTTTTTCTTAATAATACTCTGTCAACTACTTTTTTATATTAAGAAAACTGGTAAAAATTGGTCAAATATAAAATGAAAGGGTTAAGGTGCGCCCAACACCCCGAACTATTTACCCAGGTGCGTCCAGTGTCATAAACTAATTAAAATAATGCGTCCATATCCCAGGCTAACAGAAATATTATGTTTAACTGTTACTTTTCTGACTCAACTTAAAGTTGACCCCAGATATTGTAAATGGTAGACACATGGGCACCCGATGTGTATTATTCTTATTCAAAATTGAATTTATTTCCTTCCTCTTCTTTTAAATAAATTGACTTTTGAGTAAAAATAATACACATCGGGTGCCCATGTGTCTACCATTTACAATATCTGGAGTCAACTTTAAGTTGAGTCAGAAAAGTAACAGTTAAACATAATATTTCTATTAGCATGGGATATGGACGCACCATTTTAATTAATTTAGAACACTGGATGCACTCATAATTACTTTAAGCCACTGGACGCACCTGGATAAATAGTTCGGGGTGCTGGGCGCACCTTAATCCAAAATGAAATTTGAAACTTTTTAAATTGTCCTTATTAAGCGAAGATAATTGTTGAAATTAAAAACGGAAGAGTCAAGAATATATCTTTAAAATGAATATTAAATATTTCATTAATCCCAAGCACAAATGATTTTCGTGTTGTGGGCATCACCATCACGTGTTGCTCCACTGAGCGGCTAAGTGCATACCCATGGTAACACGGACCAATCAGGGGGGCAATTCCAGTTTCCAATTTCCAAGGAGCGGTGCCGTCCAACCACTGAGAGGCAAGTGTCTGTTTCTCTCTGCGTGCTCCTTTCCTTCCATGCCACCTCAACTTTAACTTTCACGCTTTTCTTTCTTATCATACTTTGCAGTTTGATCCAATGAATCCTTTGAATTTGAGCACATCTTCAAGATTGCCAATATCACTACAATTCGGCGAAAGTTATAACTCTTTTTTTTGGACGAATATAACTCATTAATAACATGATTAATATAATTGTTAGGTCCGCAGCGAGAGAATATGAAAATATTATTTTCATAAAGAGAAAGTGAAATGTAACTCCTCTAGAATTTATATGAGAGTGGCTTCATGGCTTGTCTCTGTCAAATATATATATATATATATATATATGTGTTGGTATAATCTTTTGTCAATTTTAGTAAACTTGAGAGGAAAGTCGGGAGGAGGAAATCTAGAGAGATTGAGAAAAATAAAGCATTTGGCTTCTAGTGCGCGTGCGTATATATGCTTGAAGTCCTAAAAAAAGCGAAGCTTTGATGACTTTTCGGTGAGAAAGGAATAGCGTCCGACTTGGTGGCCTCTTAAGTAGATATCAAAATACCAATTTTAAATATAAAATTTTAATATATTTTGTTTCTTATATTTATCTATTTTTTTAAGATAGTTATTTTAATAATTATACATGTTAAAAATTTTATCAAATGACAGTTCTAGTTAATACATATATTTTAATAAAGATAATATCTATTTATTACAAATAATTAACTTAATTAAATTTGTTAACCTATTCAAATTAGTCAACTAAATCTTATATTAAAAATTATGAGTAGTGTTTAGTTGGAGTTGTTGAGTGAAAACGGAACTTCTTCTTTTAGAAACTGGCTATTTGAAACAAGGGCAACAAGCCAAAATTAAGGAGAAAAAATTGTGTCCACAAACATATGAAAACAACTGCTACCTCCGGTATTAATTATAAAACTTCATTTATACACTATAAGTGAAGCCTTATAATAATTAGAACCGGAGGTAGTATAATGTTATCATAATATTTTGAATTAAGATATAATATTAAACTCACCTACTTGGCAAAAAAAGAAGATACAATAAACAACTCGAGACTTACCGCTAATTATCAATCAAAATGGTCAATATCTAATGGCCACTAAATTATTGTGAGGAGGAAGTGGGTTCACTAATCTCTATCCCATTATGTACAGAGAGGTGCACAATATTCATCAGTACTTATACCATCTTATAATTAATTATAGGGTAATCTTTATAGAGTAGTTTATATATGAAAAAACAAAATATATATATTTATAACCCAGGTTTTAAGCTCAGGCAGCCTCTGAGGAAATATCTGTCGCACGTTTCTTTTTCTTTCGGCCAAGTAATATTTCTTTGTTTGTCATGTTGGATATTTGTCTGAAATGGGTAGGATTATATATGTACTATACCTCTTTAATGGCCTTAATGCTTGTTTAAAAGTGGATAAGCCAGTTGATACAACTGTCCTGTGATTGTTTGCCATCTACACGAAACTCTCCCAAGATATGATCTTTGATGATATTTCCATTACAAAGTAGCTAGCAACATATATATAAATATCCAGGGCTAGCTAATTCCTTTCCGTCAAGGGCACTTTCACTTACTTGTACAGCATTTTGGTAAAGCTGATAATCTTTTCAATTACTAATAACTTATTACGTGCAAATAATTTTAAGAAGAACATCAACGTAAAACGACGTTGATTTGCTAAATACAAAATTCTATTTAACCACTAACATAGTTAATCCATCTTTCTGCTCAGCATATCAAATAGTAATAACTTTTTCTTATCATACTTTAATTATCTAATTATCACGCAGAATAATATATCTAATTGCTCCACTGAAGAAGTTACGAGGAAAGTCGCATCACTCATATTATTATCAGTATGTTTAATGTTAAAAGAGCATTTTGCAAGTTGAAAATTTGAAGTGATGACCATAATCCAACAATTCCTACCACCACTACTGGCAATAAACTGATGGCAAAAGGCTTGATTAGTCGAAAGAGCATGCGTGTTGAAAACAACCCCCCCCAACCCATCACCACTAAGCTCTTATTTTCTGCAAATAATGTTACTGATCTATCACTGTGACGTATGTATTTGGTGCATCTTTATCTCTTGAGTGCCTTCTACGTCTCAGGACTTACAAATTTCTTAGGAAAAATTACACTAAAACATTAAATTTTCGAATTAATCATTAAGAAAGTTCCTAAATTTATTTGTCACATCACACAAATTTAGTCGAACTACGGGTATTTACTGTTCACATAACACAAACTTAATTACAGCTAAAAGAATATTTGATACGATTCATAAATACTATTTGAACTGATCTTGCATGTCTGCCCCAAACTACATACTACTGATGCTGCTTTTTGTACCAAAGTTGGATTTTGAAAGCCTAACAAGCTATATATATATATATATATATATATATTTATATATATAGAGAGAGAGAGATTTCTTCTCCCAAAAAAATTCTGAGGTGGACCACCACTTCCTTATTATGACACAAGGCCGAACTATATCACTTAGATGTGATCCTGACGGAGAATGGCTTGGTCGTCTCTGGTCGAGTGACGAAGACCGAAAGGGAAAAAAGTTACGATTCAATTGGTTACTTTTTATTCATTTACGTCGCAAGAAAGAATTTAATCTAAGTCTTGAATGAAATCTACTCTTCACGCATGCACGAGAAGCCATTATAACCCAAGCAAAAAGAAAGAGTAGAAGAGAAGGGCGATCTTGAATACCTCTGCAACTGGACTAGCTTTTAATAAGGGATCTTTTTCATATATTCAATTGTGCTTTTTGTTGTTGAATTTTCTCATCTGGTTTAACCCATTTTCAGCAAATACAGAACTGAACAAAACAAAATGGGAATTAATGGATCGATGAGTTTATTATTCTCCCTCTTGGGTAATGTAATATCAATCCCTGAAAAGACCATTAAAATTAAACTTGCTAGTTAGAGTTAGAGGTGTTTCCTTTTAAACAATCGCTGGATCCAACTGCTCATAAGCAGCATACGGAAAACTACTGTTAATGTATTGTAATTCCATGGCCAGAATCATTAGCACATCTAGTTTCGTTGTCTCTTTCTATTGTCGCCCACATTAATGATGATTATAATATGATTCATGAGACTAAAAAGACTATTTCAACTATCCAATTACCAACCGACCTTGAACAACGCGTTTCTTTGTAGCCACTTCAATCAACGTGTTCAAGAAGCAATGATAATCGTGACTCGCCCCTCTCATTCACGTCTAAGTGGATAAGTAATTTTGTTCAGAATTCAGCCATTAAGGGAAATTAAATTAATTATTTTTTTAAAATAATAATAATGTCAAGGACCTAAAGTTATGTAATCGCCAAAAGTAAACTGTGTCCCCCCCCCCCGGGCGGTAAAAATTTGATAGAATTACTGCATAATTTCACATAAATAATTTGATTACTAAAAGTTCTGTAACAAGTGAGCAGCGTGAAAATGACAAATTTTGGTGGAAGGAATTACAACGGATCCACAACGTAATGATTAAATTGCGTATGTGAGCTGAACAAT